AGAGAAGTGTTACTGTACTATGTTTTCGGGTATAAGAAAGTCAAAGGACCTAAAGATGACTACATATGTATATGGCAATGAATTCAACCAATTTCTGGATATGGTTAGATGTGTAGAAAATAGAGGTGCATGGAAAAATGGTGAAAACCTTTTTGTTTCAAGTTGAATGCGAAAACTTTTTGACGTATCTGAGGTCATATCCTTCTCATTTTGACCCAATGGAAGCTGCTTAAGGACGAGGGTACAGTAACTACAGTGGCGTAGCCAGGATTTGGTGACCGGGGGTTCTATTTTTATATTCACAAATCCCCCCACCCCTTCATTAGGGTTCCTCAAATAATGTACAATTACACCCCCTCCAAAAGTTTGGCAATCCTAACTAACCCATTGGATTATGTATTAAAAGCATCTTTAAGTTTGATTTCTTATTTATTTTTATATTTTTTAGAAAGAACTATTTTGGGAGGGGAAATATAATTCATTTTAATACCGTCATTAAGTGAAGTAGATAATTGAATTTGAATTTTATTTAACAGAAACGATTTCTTTATTTACGTTAGCAAAGTCTGAAAGTAATGGGCTTTATCAAGAAACCTCTCCCATTGAAATAACACTGCTCGTAATTGATTTTCAAAAATGACCTTGTAGCTTTGTAACTTTAATGTTCACAAAGTAAAATAAACAGGCAACGTGCAAAAAAGTCAAACAACCTATGATTAATTTTCTGCTTCAAAATATATTTAGGTGAATCTTTTATTGAATACATATCCTGAAATCTGATTTACTCCGAATCCACCATTATTTCGTCTGATTTCTGGAAGACTCTGGAGCATGATTTGTTTCCAAGGAATATCAACTATTTCGCACAATTTTTTCTTTAACTTAAGCTACTTCATCTAGGACAAAATAAATCACCTCATACAATGGCTTATCATAATTTTTCAGGAATTTTGTTGGAGTCCAGTTCGGATCAAATGCAAACACCCTATACTCCGAAAGATCGTTCTTCTACGATGACTTTTCACAACGTTTACACGAAGGCTTTTTAAACTATCCGGGATAGTCGTATTACTGATGAAAATATCTATTATTCAAATAAGTGGGTCTCGGTTATGCTTTGTTTTCAAAAGTTAAAAATACTTCTTTGGATGTCCCCGGAGCTCAGTTGTAAGACCCCCGGAGCAGATCAACTGCAATTGATTATAAAAATGTTTTGGTGGATATAAATCATATATAAATACAAGCGACTGTTCGAATATAAAACGTATTTTGTTAATTAAAAGAGAGCTTCGTCTTCACTCTTTCAAACTAAAATAAACCTGTGAACTCACCGCGCCAATCACAGTGTTCGTCGGCCAAATTTGACCGACGTTCTATATATGGTCATTCCTTCTGACGTCATCTTTGAGCCCGGAATTGACCAATGACATGCGCATATTTAATTAGAAGCTCGCTGAATGGTGGAAGAAAGGTCAGCGCATTGGTCAGAAGTGATTTATTACCCAAACTTTCACCGGTACCCGTCGTGGGGGTGGGGCTACTAAACTGTAATATGGTCTCTACTAGGCAGAGTGTAGTTTAACTAGACTCTGCACGCAGGGTATTGAAAATTAATACCATGTGATTTTTCAATGTTTTTTTATTATGTAATTTATTCGCTAAACATATCATCGACATTAACATGAAAATGGAGAGCAGTTAAACTGGAACGATAACAATTTGAATTCTATACCATCTCTTAGATGAGTGGAGTGTATCTGAAAAAAAAATGCAATGATTGATTTTTCTTTGGAAAAGTGATTGGTAAATAAATACTGAACAAATGAAAGAATGAATAAATTGAACAAATGCTTGTGTTTATAAATGATATACGCTTTTAAATAATTCATTTCACAACGTTTTTAATTATTTAACGCAATTGGTTTCGGGGACTTGCCAGCCCAAGGGACGTCCCAAGAAATATTTTAAATTGTTAATTGAAATAAAACCAAACAGAGGTGTACACATTTGAAAGAACATGTGTTTCATCAATATTACGACTATTCCAGATATTTACTCGTCAATGTTGTAAAAATCATTCGGAGTATGGGATGTCTTAGCATTGTTTTCAATAACTTTCAATAACTTCGTATTGGACCAGAACTGGCTTAAAACAAAATTCCTACAAAGGACTGATTTAGCCATTGCCCAAGATGGGTTATTTTGTCCGAGAAGAAGCTTTTAAGTTAATTGTGCGAAATTATTGTTATTTCTAAACCTCATGCTCTGGGGTCTTGCCAAAATCTCATCCCGTGCCTAAGGTTGCCAACCGTTTTGAGGGAAGTGTAACTTCACTATGACATGTCTTTAACAAAATAAGGCTCTCGTGTTCACCAAAACAAACATCAATTCATTTACTGCTCATATATGTAGTTTTCAAATAGCACAGTGATTTAATGTTTCTGGATATATGCATTTTTGCGCAAAATGATATTTTGGGAAATCCTGATCGGGGGTTCGTTCGAACCCACCGAACCCCCGCTGCCTACGGCTATGAACTATATAAAGGACAATGATGACCATGAAAATATAGCCTTATGGGTTGTCTAGTTATCTTGAATTATCAAGAATTCTCTGATCATGGAACTTGAAATAAGCACATGGACATAAGCACATATCTGGGGCTTATCACTATTCATATAACGAATAACAACCACACTGTTTACAATACCGCCATCTTTTTATTAAAAGAATATTACATTGACATTATAATTAACATTATAATGTCCAAGATGTTACTTCATTTAAACATTTATTCATAAACATCAGAATCTTTATCAGGTGTCTATGCCCGAATTTAGTTTACGGATTGTTGGCTTAAATTTTTGGTTTACATATATAGATGAACGAACAACCATACTGTTTAAAATGCAGTCTCCAGTACAGTCTTCATGCTCTTATTAAGAACATCGTGCTGTGGGAAGATGTACAGGTATGTACATACGTCAATGGCCTTCAGGACTGTCAATAGATGGCGAAAAATTCAGTAGGTTTAATATTAATAGCATACTTTAACATTTAAAAAATGTTCCAAAAATCTCCAAAGATAAATTTTATTGAAAATATCCAAAACTTCTAATTTTGAATCTTAAAACATGTTTGTAAATTAAAATAATGATGAAGGAAAATATGATATTTATTTGCTATATGCAGAGAATTTGAAGTTTCAAAACAGCAATATTTACACATTAACCAATGGGCTAGTTGCAGAGAACAACCTAGTAGTTAACTGCCATCTATACGAGTCCTGGCTCCCATTATGAACATAACAATAAATACGTCCTCACCAACAAAATTTAATAAATTAAATTAATTAATATTCAAGATGTGTCCGTTTTTAACGTCATTCTGGTAAAAATAAAAAATGGAAATGAACTGCACTTTTAATCAATGAAATGTTAACGCACGGCGCACAACGCAAGGTTACTTGGAATACATTGGTAAAAGGTGCATTTTATAAGAATAATATCAACATTCTTCATAACAATTAAATTTATTACCATTCTTAATAAATATAGTTAGACATAAGCTTCATTCACTTTAGTAAGTACCCAATATTCAAGAAATATTTTTTACTAGTTATTACTACAAATTAATACACAGGCAAATCCATCATTTGGCTTTATGTAGATCATGGGCTCTACCACCTCTGATAGAGCCCATGTGTAGATGTATCTGTGAAATGACTATATCACAACCAGACAGGATTATTTATTAAAAACCAATTAAATAAATGTTCATAAGGATATGTACCCCGTTAATCCCGCTTCCCAGGTTACGTATAGGTGCCTGACACAGTGTAGCAATGTACAGTGTTTATGTATACATGTAGGAGCTTGAAACAATGTAGTAACTAATATATTCTATGTAACATGTAAAGGTATGTACCCCGCTTACCCCGCTTACCCCATGGTATGTGTAGGAGCTGTCTCACAGTGTAGCAATGTAGAGAATACATGTAAAGGTATGTACCACGCTTACCCCGCTTACCCCATGGTATGTGTAGGAGCTGTCTCACAGTGTAGCAATGTAGAGAATACATGTAAAGGTATGTACCCCGCTTACCCCGCTTACCCCGCTTACCCCATGGTATGTGTAGGAGCTGTCTCACAGTGTAGCAATGTAGAGAAGACATGTAAAGGTATGCACCCCGCTTACCCCACCTCCATGGCATGTGTAGAAGCTGCCTCACAGTGTAGCAATGTAGAGAATACATGTAAAGGTATGTACCCCGTTTACCCCGCTTTCCAGCCTATGTATAGGTGCTTGACACAGTGTAGCAATGTAGAGTATACATGTAAAGGTATGCACCCCGCTTACCCCGCTTACCCCACTCCCATGGTATGTGTAGAAGCTGCCTCACAGTGTAGAGAATACATGTAAAGGTATGTACCCCGCTTACCCCGCTTTCCAGCCTATGTATAGGTGCTTGACACAGTGTAGCAATGTAGAGTATACATGTAAAGGTATGCACCCCGCTTACCCCGCTTACCCCACCTCCATGGTATGTGTAGAAGCTGCCTCACAGTGTAGCAATGTAGAGAATACATGTAAAGGTATGTACCCCGCTTACCCCGCTTTCCAGCCTATGTATAGGTGCTTGACACAGTGTAGCAATGTGTAGCAATGTAGAGTATACATGTAAAGGTATGCATCCCGCTTACCCCGCTTACCCCACCTCCATGGTATGTGTAGAAGCTGCCTCACAGTGTAGCAATGTAGAGTATACAGGTAAGGATATGTACCCCGTTTACCCCGCTTTCCAGCCTATGTATAGGTGCTTGACACAGTGTAGCAATGTGTAGCAATGTACAGTATACATGTTGCATGGTTAGAAATGGCTAAGTGCCGTGACATTTTAGCTCGTGACTGCTTACATGGAACCGCAGCCGACAAGACTCAAAAATCTTCCCGGTTAGCGGTCACTACTTCCGGTGCATCATATTTGTGGCGTGTCAATCGTTCGGTATTTCTATGCATCAATTAAAATTTTAACAAAAAATCAAAAAGTTTTTAATTTTTCGCGTTCTATTGGTGTTTCCCGGTGGAGATAATGGCTGGGCCGAACCCAGTGGTAAGTTTACAATTTAAGCTAACATTAGAGAGGTTTTGATTAATTTTAACCGGACATTTAAAAATATCAGTTGCTTTTATTTCATCTATACTTACTATGCACAAAGCTATCTCCTGAGAGATAGCTTTGCATATGTTGATATACCCAGTCCATGTTAAAGGTCTTATACAAAAATATAGGAAATCGATGCATAACAATCAAAAGTATCGTTTTCCTAACCATATCACGCGATCCAGAGTCGGGTGACAGTATAATTGACAAAAAACGTATTTGGAACTTGTTATTTTCCACGTTTTCTAACCAGGAAGTCTCGCCAATGGGCATCCGTATAACTGGAAGCGGAAACCTCATGGCATGGAGACGCATGTGCATTACTGAAAAGCTATCTTGAAAATGATCAACTCCGTTCAGATTTTCGTCAATATATTTCCTCTTCAACTCCAGATAGCCTGATATGGTTAGAAAAACAATACTTTAGAGGCATAGGGTTTGTGGGGGTAATTTCAAACACTAGCATGGAGGTAATTCTGAGGTTATAATGAAAACACGCGCTACACGCTAATGCGCCACGCGCTAACGCGCTAATAGAAAATGATCCTTCCCCCACGAAGTGTGCGCATGTTTTAAGCGCATGTTAATGATTGGTCTATATCATAGGCCCGGGGACATGTATAGGCCTTATTACGGTTAGGATATTGCCTGGGAATTTGTCGAAACATTGACACTTCAAAGGCTGTATAAATTACCGCTAACCTGTCAATCAAACTTCAAAGATGTGAACTTTGCGGCCGCAAGATCTCAAAAATTGCACTCTTCTAGTTACTATTTCTCTAACACGTTACAAAACTGAATTCAACTTTAATTCAGGAAATAATTCCAAAACTAAAATGAACATGTAGAGTCAGTACGTCTATATCCAAACACCCCCATCAAAAAATGTAGTTAGCTTGGCTGTACTGCACATCTATACTATGATTCTATATATATTATGTGTATTATCCACTGTAGAATGCATTTGCAGAAAAAAATACGAAAAATTGTAAAAAATATCTGGGTTATTCCATTTTTACTACAAGGTATTTTAGGGGGGTAATTCCGAACAGGAGTTTTTTTGGGGGGTAAATCCGAACACTTGCAGTGGGGTAATTCCAAACACTTAACTTAAACTTAATTGTTTTAATTATTAGATTGATGGTATATCATTATATGATACCCTTAACTTATGATACTGGATCCTGTCACCCCTGCATATCAAGAAACCCAAATTTAAATCATTTATTACTGACATCTATTTATTTAAACGCACAGAGTTTGTTGGGGTAATTCCAAACACTAGCATGGGGGTAATTCCGAACACCTAAATCATCATAATTGATTATTTTATTGTAAGATTGTTGGTATAAATCATTATATTGTATCTTTCAGGCTATAAATATTATGTTGAGGTAGTAGAGGTACTATTATTCAATTCAATGATCTGCTTGCCATTATTTGGAACCCGTTCGTGTTTACCCCCCTGTTTGGATTTGGACGTATTGACTCTACTTGTACGATTATCGGGCAATGATAAAACACGCAATATTCCTGATAAAATATAATTCCCGGGACAGCCGTAATTCCAAACTAAATCTGATTAAACAAATTGAGAAAATACGAAAGCAATCATGAAAGGGGGGTTTATAGGGGGTCTTGGAAATCCATATGCAATATTTTTCACCCCTTTTATACCATATACAGTTTTTTCACCCCTTTTAAAACATGACTACAATAATTCTCACATCTCTTATACTACCATATTTTACGAAAAGTCAAGGTGAAATACCATGTAACCATTTACGATGGGGGGGGGACCCTACACGGCCAAACATTTTTTCGAATTTTTTTGTTAGATTGTTGGTAAGTATCATTATATGGTATCTTTCAGACTATAAATATTATATAGAGCCTAATAGAGGTACTATTATTCAACTCAATGATTTGCTTGCCATTGTTTGCAACTCATTCCGAATTACCCCCCTGTTTTGATTTGGACGCATTACCTCTATAGTCTAAACATTTTAAAAAATAGCATTTGTTTTTCAAAATAAGTAGAGTGTTCCTTCCAGAACTTGTTCCCCAATAGACGCATAATACTCTTGGATAATCTCTTGGATAGTATTGACAAATAAAGGAAAAGTTTTGCTAATATAGGCAAAAAATCTTTTAAATATTGATGTGAGTTTACCTGTTAAATATTCGTCCTTCCGCCATTTGCTTTTCAGAACTTTTCATTTCATGCAACCTGGTAAAACACAAATTCCCATGGAACGAAAAAAGACTAGAAAAAATATCTGGCACAGACAGCACACATGCGCATGTGGGGTTGTGCGGTCAATTTTACAAAAAATATTCCGGAACCAATTTTGTTCAATATTGGACATTCATATCATGTATAGGGCATAATAATACACTAGTATGAAAACCCTTATGTAACTTATTATTAGTACTCTGCATTTTTGATAGCCATACCTCTCTGGCCCAGTAAAGTTACTCCCTGATGTTGTAGATCTCCAACATTTAAGATTGAGGGAGTAGATAACTGGGCCAGACTGGTTTGGTTACATTTATGAGAAAGGGTTGTACATTATGTCATCTTAATTTTCTCTTACACAAGTACATGTATAGTTCCGCTCTACATGTGTTTATTTACAATATCTACTATTTTCCAGCCCGGGCTATACAGGAGGGTAGTTGATGATGTGATAAACAATGTCAGAGAATCATTCCTTGATGATGGCAGAGATGAACAGATTCTACAGGAGCTGAAACAGGTACATGTTTTATAAATACTCATACATGTACAGAATATCTTACATCAGTTGTTTCCCCATAAGATGGTCCATGTGGTAGAAATTTAATGGAATTCCCACAGTAAAATTATGATGTCTCATTGTCACAATATCAGTCATCAAATCTAGTTCATTTGTTATCTATATCAGTTCCTGGTTTATGAAAGTAGTTCCATAGTAAACAAGTCTGTCTAAATGTTTCATGTTGTCTTGTGTTTCCAATCTGACAATTGCTTCTGCATGACATATTTGGACAAACATTGTTTACATGTTACTCCCAAATGCTCTTGACTGGACATGATATATTTATCCCACCGAACTAAGTTCGAGGTTGATATAGAAAAGCCGTCCATCCGCCATTTTTCATAAAAGAACGTAACCTTTGATAACTCAAATACCAGTTGATGGATTTGGTTCAAATTCTATATGCTGATGCCTAGAGACAAAGAAGTTCTGCTCAAGAAGACATTTCTTGATAACTCAAGTACCAGTTGACGGATTTGGATTAAATTGTATATGCTGATGCCTTGGGACATAAGATGACAGCTGAATTTCAAAATGGTAACCATGTTTCATAAAGACATAATCTTTGATAATTCAAATACCAGTGGATGGATTTAGCTCAAATTTTATATGGCCGCTATTTATCAAAACATGTTTTGTTCGGTGGGATTTGCTACTCCGTGTAGTTTGTTGTTCTAGTTTGGAGATCCTACTTTTATTGTTGAGTCCTACATGAATAATTTCCACCAAACAAGCCTCTTTAGTTTAGGTTATCTACTATGTGAGAGTAAAGCTAATGATTTGGATGTTACATACTTGTATCTCATTCTCATATGTTTGTGGGTTAAAGGAAGATAACACCCTGAAGTATATATCATATCTGAGGAGAAGGCTGTTATTATATTCTATATATCCCATATCAGCCAGAGAGGGGGCAGGAAAGATTGGAACATTGAAAACACCTCAAGTTATTTATGCAAACAGTGAGAAAATGGAAAGCAATCTCATATACATGTACTGTACTTGTAAACTTAAATAATAAATGTGATGTGAAAGGCATTGGGCTACACAACTTGATATTCTCAAATCTTATCTTGTTGTGATATTGTAAGACCTTCAAATATGAGATTCAACAGTTATATGTGGCACTTCAGAGTACATACCTCCCTCAGGATAGAACTCCTTACCACAATGTTTTAAACTGTTATGTATTGATAGTGATAATGGAATTTCTCAGATAAGCCTTAATTAAGCTGTTTCCTCCTGTTCATCCTCCAATCGTTTTGATGAGTTTAAATGATAAAACACATATTCCTGCATACATTTTCACTTGTTGAGCACTTGTCAACATTACCATTTACTTATTATTGAGGGGTTTAACAAGGGTCCACAAAAAATAAAAAATATTAGACTTTGATATTTTTGAAGTTTACAACAGATTATCTACTTATGAATTGGTTTTTGGGAAGGTTATTAGCATGACATATTGATTTTATCTGTTTAATTGAAAATAAGATCACCTGTCTGGCTATATTTTGCATTTAAAATGATTAAAATTAATTGTTCCATTTAGTTCACTTTCTTTTAACATCATCTTGTTTTTTGTTGATCCGCCTATTGTTTTGATATGTTTAAATGATAAAACATATATTCCTACATACGTTTTCACATGTTGAGCACTTGTCAACATTACCATTTACTTATTATTGAGGGGTTTGACAGGGGTCCACAAAAAATAAAATATTAGATTTTGGTACTTTTGAAGTTTACAAAGGATTATCTACTCATGAATCAGTTTTTGACAAGGTTATAAGCATAACCTATTGATTTTATCTTGATTTTATCTGTTAAATTGAAAATAAGATCGACTGTCTGATTATATTTTGCATTCAAAATGATGAGAAATAATTGTTCCCTTTTGTTCACTTTCTTTTAACATCATCTTGTTTTTGTTGATCCGCCAATTGATATGATATGTGTAAATGATACATTTTCACCTGTTGAGGACTTTACCGTTTATTTATCATTGAGGGGTTTAACAGGGAGGGGTCAACAAAAATATTAGATTTTGATAGTTTTGAAGTTTACAACAGATTATCTAGTCATTAATCGGCTTTTGGAAAGTTTACTAGTATGACATGTTGATTTTATCTCGATGCACAATAGATGTTACCAATAAACTTATTTATTAATAATTGTGGGGTTAACAGGGATTCACAGAAAAATAATAAAAGATATTAGATTTTGATATTTTTGAAGTCTTTTTGGAAAGGTTATTAATATTAGTATGCCATATTGATTTTATCTGTTTAATTGAAACTTAGATAGTCTGTTTGACTATATTTTGCATTCAAAATGATAAAAAATAATGGTTTCATTTAGTTCACTTTCTTTTAACATCATCTTGTTTTTCGTTGATCTGCCAATTGTTAAATGATATGTTCAAATAATAAAACATATATTCCTACATACCTTTTCACCCGTTGAGGACCTGTCAACATTACCGTTTACTTATCATTGAGGGGTTTAACAGAGGTCCAATGAAAAATATTAGATATTGATACTTTTGAAGTTAACAACGAATTTTCCACTTATGAATCTGCTTTTGGAAAGGTCATTAGCATGATATATTGATTTTATCTGTTTAATTGAAAATAATATCTTCTGTCTGACTATATTTTGCTTTCAACATGATTAAAAATAATGGTTCTATTTAGTTCACTTTCTTTGAACGCAATCTTGTTTTCGTTGATCTGCAAATTGTTTCTGTCTATATTCCTACATACATTTTCACCCGTTGAGCACTGAAACTGAGCACTGTTTACATTTTAAAACCTTGGAAAAAGCATTTGATCGCATATAATATTGCATTTAAATCATAATCTAAGATGAGTTAGGAATTTATTCCCACTATTTATAAAAATGGATTTTAACATCAATAAAGCATATGATATGGTGTGGGGTAAAAGGATATATGATTTTTGCGATACGGGCTCTACAAGCATCTCTACAAGCAAATAACTTTAGTAATAGAAAAGCGTTTACCTTGATTATTTTATTTAGTAGAAAATAGACTGTCCCATGACGCAATGCTAGAACCCAAACTTTCTATTGAAATTAATTAATACCGTCTCGCCCAATATTTTTTTCTCGAATGGGTATTCTGCCATATCCAGCTACTGATCATCCAGTTTTTGTTTAATATTGCTCGCAGAAATGACGTTATAAGAATTATTGCTCAGGTCGATATAGTAACATAAATGCCACCTAAACTAGCACTAATACCCCTAAAACATGCCCCGCAAGGTGGTAATAATAGTAATTGATCCGAGAACCATCCACAAAAATATTCATCTTTTTGAATTAGTCTTGAATTAAATCTTCAATAAATGAAAATCTGAACCACTTTAAGATATTCAAAAAATTCAGTGTGCCATGTTTATGGTATTTTTTACGCGGAATATGGCATACATTCATGGTTGCGCGGTATTTGTGATACGGGTGAATATGCCATACTCACCTGCGGTATATGACATATTCCGCAGGTGAGTATGCGATATTCTGCAGTGAATATGCGATATATTGGTTTCAGTGAATACCCGATACTCACCTGCAGAATTTGTCATACTCACTTGCAGAATATGCCATATACAGCAGGTGAATATGACATATTCCGCAGGTGAAAACGTGATACAGAAAGACTCGGTTTGATTGGTTGCGAGAATCGACTCTAAATGTAAAACTACGCTGGATTACCAATATTGTTAGTGCGTCGAGTACTAATATATGAATCCTGGATTGATTGTGTAAGTTTATGACGTGAGATTGGTGAGTGATACTTCTGCATACGTTGATATATTGGATGAACTGTCCTGTTGATTCAGTAATCATTATAATAATTTATAAAGTTTTACCTGTTCGTTCAATTGATGCAATTGACAATTGCGTACTTCCGTATCACATACTCATTGGTTAGTGTGTATTACATATACCGCAGGTGAATCTGTCATACACCGCAAGTGAATATGCCATATTCATTGAGGAATATGGCATATTTTTGTATCGTGTTTACCGCGTAACAGTATTCACATACCAGAAATGATTAAAATCGCTCCACAACTTTTCGAGTTATAGTAAAATACGTTAAAATGGCGGCTATGTTTAAAATGGCCGCCTTCTACCAAAAGTGTCACTAGACAGTGTGCCATGCTTATAGTATTCATATACCAAATTTGAACGAAATTACTCCACTACTTTTCGAGTTACAGCAAAAATTGTAAAATAACAAGTAAAGGCCACCATTTTTCAAGATGGCTGCCATGTGCTTCTTTAATATCTACATTAGCTTTATTTATGTCCTATATATTTTTTTTTCATTTAAAAGATATTGCTATTACAGTTTTACATATTGCATCTAAATTACTGTAAAATCGGCACTAAAATGGCCGCTATTTTTAAATGAGCAGCCATTTTGAAAATCGGCATTCGAGCAGAACTTCTACCCCCATAGGGTATATGTGTAAAAATATGTACAAAATCGGGCCAACGGTATTTGAGTTATTGCCCGAATGGACGGACGGACGGACTGAGGCCCGTTCCCTATATCCCTCCGAACTTCGTTCAATGGGATAACTATTTAAGATTAATTTAAATTGTTAGGACATGATACTAAGCTTATAAATTAAAAATGTGATTAGTTACACCAATCATTCTGATTTTAGAGTCCATTGTTATCTCATTTTCCAGTTTAAATTGTATAAATCTTCTTGCTGTCAACCCATTTATAATAGTCTACACTTATTTAATGCCTGTTTATAATGATACCGACATAACTGTAATATTGAAGTCATAAAAGTAATAAAGATCCCCAAGTGGAGGTAAATGTCCCCTCCCCCCATTTGTGACATGGCGTTATACGAATTAGGTTGAAGACATCAGGATGAAACCTGTTTTCATGATTTATACACCTCAATGATGTAATTTAATTGTAACTAATGTACTAGCTTTTCATCTAAGAACTATCCGGAAAAATATTTAATATTTGTAAAATAGACCCCTGCTGAAATCGTTCATAAATAAAGTTCTGTAACTTTGTATGGTGCTCAAAAATTCATAAATGGTCAATGCTATAATCCTAACTTAAAAAAGCAAATCAAAAACATTAGGCTGTAACAATTAGCTTTAAAAAAATTATCCAGTGTTTGATGAGTTATACCCCCCACTATGAACATGGATTCCATTTTGATCTAATTTTTCAGTTGAAATTTTACATTATGCTCTTGATATATAATAATTCATACTTTTTGTACTTATTTATTATCTATTCACAAGAAATCTTTTAAAACGATTATTTCTTTAAAAAATGGACCCCTGCTTAAATCTCAAATAAATGATAAACGGTAATGTTGTGTGATCCTCAACAAGCAACACCATATTCAGTGACATTAAATCTATCAATATAATCTATAAAAATGATTGGAACTTGAACAGGAGGTAATTTTCAAATATTTGTCAATTCCTTTATCACTATGACTGCAATATTTGTCTTTTAGTTATGGGAGAGTAAACTTAACCAGTCAAAGGCTGTAGAGGGGATGCCAGCCGAACATGAGCAGATATTACAACAACACTATGCCCAGGTTCAGCAACAACAACAACAACAGCAACAGCAACAGCACCAGCAAGCTCAGCAACAGAAAATGAAACTCATGGCCCAGTCACAGCAACAGCAACACAATGTACAAAGAACAGGTTAGATAGCCCACTAATAGCATGGTTCAAAGAAAAAAGTATTTAAAACTTTTAGTTCCCATTGAATCAGATGGTATATCAGGCCCGTAGCCAGGGAGGTTTGCAGGGTTCGGGCGAACCCCCTGGCCAAAAATTCTTTCAAAATCATGCAGTTTTTCACCATTTTGAGCACTTTTCAAGTAATTTTAGCCATATTTGGGCCAAAATTGTCATATGGAAATTTTTGAAAACCTTGTCAAATCCTGGCTATGGGCCTGTACATAGATGTTTAAAACATGAATAAAAACTTTTTAACATAGATAGGCCACCAATATTGCTTTATTTGGAGAGTTAAAGATATTTGATGATCAAGAAATCTTTTGTTTCTAAAATGGTGGGAAATTCAAATATTTGAAAATTATAAGATGGAGAACATTCTTCAAAAAATGTCTTAATTAGTAGATTTCATGTCATGAAAAGTAATATTTGAATGATTAAACTATATTTTCAAACTTTGCATAGTACCTTTAATTGATATGACTTATTATTTGCAGTAGGCAGTCAGGGTGCTACAGGCAATCCAAGTCTCCCTGTATATACACAGCTAGGAAACACCCTAGAAATGGTAAGTTTTCTATAATACATGTTAAGATAGCACATCTTTCTTTTACCCGCAGCTTCCTTCATGCATGAATTCTTATTTTATAAAGAGGCAAAATCCAGTACTTTCAGAGATGTGCACTTAACAGGTTGTTCATTCTTGAGTCTTGATTTGTGATTATGATCTACACATTATTAGCATTCATTCCTGATCTTTGTTTTGGGATTTGATGCAAGATCAAGATATAGTGAATCAATGGTTATTAATTATATAGCATAGATGGCTGTAATCATGATTAATATTTGTAGCCACAAAAACAAATGGGTCAATTGGATGAAATAATTGATCCACGCAACATACCAGGGCCTCCAAATAGAAATCCTTTCAAGGAAAGCATGCAGGTATCAAATGCAATTAAGCCATGCATTAAACATGTTGTTAAATCACCCCTTCCTTTCCCACATTTCTGAAAAGGACAGACTCTTTCATGCTGATTACCTAAAAATATTTTTAATATATGATCTCTAAAATGTACCTCTATAGACTTTGATATAACTGAGAATATCAAATCTTGACAAATAATACTCGCCTGATTTATTACAGCACAAATTTAAAAATGTGCTCTCACCTTTTTCAATTTTTGAAAGATGAATAATTCATTTATGAGCAATGTCTCCCCAAGTTCTGGTACAAAAATATGGCTTATGTAAGAGGAGGGAAAGCCCCAGAGTTTAAAGATGACAGACATAATTATGTCTCTTGCTTACCACCTTCAGTCGTTCGAATTTTCACCGGCTAGTTATCAAATACTACACATCGATGGGAATGTTTTAATTGATATAGGCATATTCCGTACACCTTTCTTTATCTTGATGTGAAATGAGAAGCTATGATATTGGTTAACACGCCAGAAATGAACATAATATTATTCGAAGCGTATTTCGAAAATTTTGAAACCGCCATTGATGACATCATTTGTTTGTCGACTTTTGACCAGTCAGAGATGTATGTCATCTCAATACAGGTTTACATTATAAGCGTATATCATCATTGAACTCTGGTGTTATTCCCCTCTGGGCTTATATCAAGTCTGTTGTTGGTGCAAGTTTCAGGTCATTTTGTGATTCAACATTTTTTGGATAAATGTAACTTAAATGTGACTTACCCTTTACCCTTTGCTATGCTAGGTAGCTAGAATATGTAGTAATGCTGTGATTAAGGATTGTCATCCCACCAAACTATTTAAACATATTAGTTCGAGAGGGATTATAGAGAAGCATTCTGTATGTTCATCCATCTTTTTATCAATCCAGGTGATAACTCTAATACATGTATTTTCAAATTCTACAGTTATTTTATTTGGTTCAAATATAATAGGCCAATGTACTAGTATAATGGGAATAGAAAAGAATTTCACTGTGACTACTCAAATTAAAATGGCTAACACTCTTTCATAAACTTTTCGATAACTCAAATACCAGTTGTCAGATTTGCTTTAGATTTTATATGCTGATGTCTTCATGGGCATAGGATTCAAAATGAATGTTGAATTCAAAATAACAATCATTTTTCATGAGAATGTAATTTTTGATCACTTAAATGGGCTGTATTGTCATAAGTGTATATTTTGCCAAAATGAGACAATATTACTGGCTTGTTATATCTGACTGATGAGTCATTGTTTTGATATACATTGAATGATTTGAAATATGCTTTGTTCGGTGGGATTTGCTACTCGAGGGGGTTGCTGTTTTTAGATATTATTATGTAGACATGCTTTAGTGCAATAATTAACCACAACACATAAACTGACAGATGTGAAGAAAAAAATTTGATCGACAACAAAATCATACTTGTCTAGAAAAAGTTCTGAAAATCAAAATAATTCAATGAAAATGTTGTTCACAAAGTAAAATGTCACAGGGAGAAGACTTATTTCTGGATCCTTATGAGAAATATCATTGAACAACTATCATATAAACACAGATAACGTGTTGAAACAAATTTACATTTTGTAATATTTTACAATGTAGAGTGGTGCTGCAGCCCAAGCAGCTCTAGCCCTACCCCAAGGGATGTACTCTTAATACACTCTCTACTTTCATGATATGTCTATTATATTTTACATTGTAGAGTGGTGCTGCAGCCCAAGCAGCTTTAGCCCTACCCCAAGGGATATCTACCTTCATGATATGTCTATTATATTTTACATTGTAGAGTGGTGCTGCAGCCCAGGCAGCTCTAGCCCTACCCTAAGGGATGTACTCTTAATATACTCCCTACTTTCATGATATGTCTATTATATTTTACATTGTAGAGTGGTGCTGCAGCCCAAGCAGCTTTAGCCCTACCCCAAGGGATGTACTCTTAATACACTCTCTACTTCCATGATATGTCTATTATATTTTACATTGTAGAGTGGTGCTGCAGCCCAGGCAGCTCTAGCCCTACCCCAAGGGATGTACTCTTAATACACTCTCTACTTTCATGATATGTCTATTATATTTTACATTGTAGAGTGGTGCTGCAGCCCAAGCAGCTTTAGCCCTACCCCAAGGGATGTACTCTTAATACACCTCTACTTCCATGATATGTCTATTATATTTTACATTGTAGAGTGGTGCTGCAGCCCTAGCAGCTTTAGCCTTACCCCAAGGGATGTACTCTTAATACACTCTCTACTTCCATGATTTGTCTATTATATTTTACATTGTAGAGTGGTGCTGCAGCCCAGGCAGCTCTAGCCCTACCCCAAGGGATGTACTCTTAATACACTCTCTACTTTCATGATATGTCTATTATATTTTACATTGTAGAGTGGTGCTGCAGCCCAAGCAGCTTTAGCCCTTCCCCAAGGGATGTACTCTTAATACACTCTCTACTTCCATGATATGTCTATTATATTTTACATTGTAGAGTGGTGCTGCAGCCCAAGCAGCTCTAGCCCTACCCCAAGGGATGTACTCTTAATACACTCTCTACCTTCATGATATGTCTATTATATTTTACATTGTAGAGTGGTGCTGCAGCCCAAGCAGCTTTAGCCTTACCCCAAGGGATGTACTCTTAATACACTCTCTACCTTCATGATATGTCTATTATATTTTACATTGTAGAGTGGTGCTGCAGCCCAAGCAGCTCTAGCCCTACCCCAAGGGATGTACTCTTAATACACTCTCTACCTTCATGATATGTCTATTATATTTTACATTGTAGAGTGGTGCTGCAGCCCAGGCAGCTCTAGCCCTACCCCAAGGGATGTACTCTTAAAACACTCTACCTTCATGATATGTCTATTATATTTTACATTGTAGAGTGGTGCTGCAGCCCAGGCAGCTCTAGCCCTACCCCAAGGGATGTACTCTTAATAGACTCCCTACTTTCATGATATGTCTATTATATTTTACATTGTAGAGTGGTGCTGCAGCCCAGGCAGCTCTAGCCCTACCCCAAGGGATGTACTCTTAATACACTCTCTACTTTCATGATATGTCTATTATATTTTACATTGTAGAGTGGTGCTGCAGCCCAAGCAGCTTTAGCCCTACCCCAAGGGATGTACTCTTAATACACTCTCTACTTCCATGATATGTCTATTATATTTTACATTGTAGAGTGGTGCTGCAGCCCAAGCAGCTCTAGCCCTACCCCAAGGGATGTACTCTTAATACACTCTCTACCTTCATGATATGTCTATTATATTTTACATTGTAGAGTGGTGCTGCAGCCCAGGCAGCTCTAGCCCTACCCCAAGGGATGTACTCTTAATATACTCCCTACTTTCATGATATGTCTATTATATTTTACATTGTAGAGTGGTGCTGCAGCCCAAGCAGCTCTAGCCCTACCCCAAGGGATGTACTCTCAACAAGTAGCAGCTCCAGGCAACATTACAGTGCAGCAACCCCAACAAGGTCAGTTATTATACAAAATGTAGTCTCCAAAGCAGTAATCTACTAGCATTGCAGTTGAGTGTTGCACACAGTTTAGTATCAATTTTACTCTGTTGAGGATTAGAAAATCTTCATAAGATTCTTGACTTGCTAGTTTAAATTAAGTTAAAACTCTGTTGCTATTTTATCTTTTCCAGGCTGAATACTAGTAAATCAGCACTTTGTTTTAAACCAACCAACTCTGGGCCTGTGGGTCACATATATGTTGCACATATACTTTTTTTAGTTTAGAAATATTCCTGAGAGGGACACTGCACAGAACTTACTATAGATTCTTGAAATGTATAGTTTAGTCATTCAAATGTTTACCTTGGTAAGCCCTTGAAATGTATAGTTTAGTGATTCAAATGTTTAACTTGGTCAGCCCTTTAAAAAAAGCTGCATTTGTTTATGATTCAGGTCAATCCACACAACAACAACAGCAACAGTATATTACAATACAAGCTCCACCAGGTGTGGATATTCAACAGCTGCAGCAACAACTACAGCTCCAACAACAGCTGCAGGGGCAAAATCCTACATTCACACTGCCCCAGGGGGTCAGCATGGTACAGGTGCCCTCACAGGTATAACTATTGAGGTTCATTATATCTATAGATACTATAGAATAGACAGGTGACAGGAATTCGACAGTAACACAAAATCAAACAAACTATTGAAATAAAGATATAAAAAGAGCCTATTCAATGATTTATCACCAACCTTTATACAGTAGAATGGATAGGTAACAGTGAATTGGACAATAACCAAAATTAAAAAACTATAAAAATAAAGATATTAAAAGATGCTATTTATCAGTACATAGACAACTTTTTTCATGAAATGAATAAATAAAAGATTAAGAAGTATTTCTCATACAGGGTGTACAAATACAAATGCAACATTTTTTTGGTACAGCCTTCTCAATTATGGTGGTATCTTCTTGAATATTCTCCTGTGGATAGTGTTCAATGCATAAAACAGTATTGTACTTATTATAGCATTTAACTCATGGTAAATCAGTCAAAGCTGCAAGTCGAGGGTTGCATTGTTTGGTCCACCCTATAATAACCATAATTATATATTGTCAAATATTGATGCACTGTTTTGTTAATCATGAACTTTATGCCTTATAGTATATTTTAAAGTTTTATAAGAAATTATTCACTTAATGTTAGCAGTCTGATGGTAGTAACAGACAGAGCAATGGAATGGTTCAGTTAGATGGTAACCAGGACACCAGCTCTGATGAAGACTATGGTGACGATGATGATGACGATGATGACAACGACAATGAGGAAGAAGACAAAGATGGACAAGAAGAGGCAAGTACCAATTTATTTTAGATGCCTTAATGTAATGGAAAAGTCAACTATTTTAGTGATGAAGTTCAGAAACTTCAAACCTCTGCTTATATGCTGAATACCTCATTAAGGCTGAGTACATGTAAAGGATTGACTATTCTGTACCTGTGGTGTGTTAACGATGAAGAGGATACGTAAAGGCTATAATCTAAGGCTAGAATTAGAGATGTAAATCTGCAATACGACCAAACGCAACTTTCTGCTTTTAACCAGTATGTCATTCCAAATATAAGATCTCAAATCTATCGGGGCTCTCCGCAGGATGTTTTTAAAGTGGGTTAAAAATGTTCACTCTCAAAATTCTGATCATAAGTTGGTAACCATATGCCACTTTTTGACATTCATTACTTGACATATAGTATTATTTTCAGGAACCCCTGAATTCTGGTGATGATGTTTCTGATGAAGGAGATGCAGCAGAACTGTTCGATACTGAGAATGTTGTAGTTTGCCAATACGACAAGGTAAACATGTTAAATGATAAAATGAGAATGTTGTAGTTTGCCAATACGACAAGGTAAACATGTTAAAGATAAAATGAGAATGTAGTAGTTTGCCAATACGACAAGGTAAACATGTGAAATGATAAAATGAGAATGTTGTAGTTTGCCAATACAAGGTAAACATGTTAAATGATGAAATGAGAATGTTGTAGTTTGCCAATATGACAAGGTAAACATGTAAAATGATAAAATGAGAATGTTGTAGTTTGCCAATACGACAAGGTAAACATGTTAAATGATAAAATGAGAATGTTGTAGTTTGCCAATACGACAAGGTAAACATGTTATTAAATGATAAAATGAGAATGTTGTAGTTTGCCAATATGCCAGTCCTCAAATCAAATACTATTGGATATTTTCATATTGAAAAATAAAGAGACAATTGATACTCAAGAGAGAGAAAATACCAAGTTTTATCACTCTAAGTTCTAAGATAGCCTAAAAATAGCATCTTCTGAACTTCCAAGTAACAGTGTAAATCTTAGCAGCTAAGGAAATCCAGTTACAGGTAGAATTTAGTACCTTGTGCAGGGGCGTAGGAAGGTGTAAATTCAACACTACGCCAAAAATCCCGCCAAAAATATGAAACAATTGTGTCAATATTCTATATCAAAACGCCTATTTTATGCTCGAAAAATGTCATTTTATGAAAACAGAGATTTTAAGCTTCCAATGTTTTTCATAACCTAAATGTGAACGGAAATACTAAAGCCATGCATTTGTATGGGCGATTGGTCATACGTATAGGTTGGCGTTTCGATTTTATATGCAAGCTTTAAATCCCTGATACCTTTTTAATGTGCTTTAAAATGTTCGAATGATTTTCATCATTTAAAATCACCTTGGAAAGCCTATCTTTTAAATCTCGACACAAATCATTTTCACTTTGCTAATGTCTCGAACGATTGAGACGACCAATTTCCAAAACAATAAGAGATTTTTTAATAATTTTCGAATAATTGAATCTAGATATATAGTATTGTCTGATTCCATCGTGTACCGTGCAATACAATACGTACAGATTAAAGAAACTAGTTTGATCAATTGATATGAAGAAACGCATTCGTGATCAATGAAACAAAAAAACACCCCCACAACAAAGGTCAAATCGAGGTCAACGTGACTTAGGGGGTGCCAAAAATGTTATAAAACAAGAATCTATTATTTTTCAAATGAAAAAAAACTAGGTAATCGCTTTTCTAGAACTGAAATCAATGAAACGTGTTATTCAATAATCAGCATTTTCAAGTTGTTTTTGTCTTTAACATTCATATTTGAAGAAGTACTACTAATAACAATTAGTGATTTAGTAAGAAAATAGATAATTGCTGACTTAACTATAATTTCTGTCTATGATTTTGCATAGCAACGGAATATAAATCGATGTAGTGAAATTGAAAAATCGGGGTAGGGGAGAATAAAAAATATACATCTTTTAAAGAGGTTCATCATTATAATCATATGATACCATAGTTTGCATAAGCATTACGGAACATGCAAAAAAAATGAAAAAACAGTTTTTCTCTCAAATTCGTGAAGAGAACGCGATTCACGAATATTTGGCGAAATTGTATTTTACTTTTAAAATTCATAAGATAGTCTCGATTTTCATGAAATAAAGCATGTTGGTAAGGGAAATCAATCTGTTAAATGATATTTGCCAGACAGACCAATAATGATATGGTATCCACAAAACATTTCTTTGGGCTAGTGTGCTCGAGATTACATTTACAATTTATGAACAATGAGAAAATATGACTAAAGAACATAGGAAAATTTTTATTCTCACTTTTCAACACTACGCACTGGCGTTTTGGCGTACATTGTTCCTACGCCACTGTTGTGTATTTAAATTAAATAGCCAAGGGGACCCAAATTTGTTAAAAAAAGATTTGGGGTGAGGAGCTTGAAATACCAGTTATTTCCTAAATATGGAAAAAGCGAAAGCACTGCAGCAAATGAGGTCATCAATCAGAACAGCAAAAGTTTGATCATCCAGGCACTGGACTCCCCACATTGTCCTTGTTATAATGCGATAATGTAAAAGTGGAGAATATATATAATATACTTTAAGTAGTATTGTATACACAGTAAATGTTGTTTTTTTAGAAAAATAAAGAAATAAAAGTATTTATAACTAAGTTGATTTCATTGTATGTTTGATTAGAAATGAGAATATCATAACGTTTCATAGTTTTAATAGATTTGACTGTTTACTGATCATTATTTGAATTATAAAACATTTCTTATATATTTCCAGATCAACAGAAGTAAAAACAAATGGAAATTCCACTTGAAAGATGGAATTATGAACTTAAAGGGTAAAGACTATGTCTTTCAAAAAGCCAATGGAGATGCTGAATGGTGACAAACATTGAAGATTAATCGACTGTGGAAAATAGTGGAATGGAGTGCATTGATATTTGTAGTTCAAAGAAAAATGCATACTGCGTGCACATACTTATACATAAGTTTTAAGATGCCAATGAAGATGTATTTTGCCAAAGATGTCTGAGATTTTCTCATGTCTCTGCATATGTACAAGAAATTTAAATGTTCAAGTTTTACTCATATATAGATCATTCTGGGGTTGATACATGTACATGTATTTGCCAAGAATTACAAAGTTGTTGCAGTCATGAGTCATTTTATCCCACCAAACTTTGAGTAGGGATATAGAGAATCCATTTGAGCAGCCATCATCCATTAGTTTTACTTCATTAAGAATGGCCACCATTTTTTTTATTAAAAATAATTTTTTAGATTTTTGGCTTTAAATGTGATGCATCATCTCTATCAACTTTGATGATTATTAAATGCAATGATATCTGTTTAAGGGGTAATTTTCAAAATGGCCACCATTTTTGCGTGAAAAAGCTAATGCTTTTTACTTGAATATTGTTTGATGGATTTACAGTGTATATGTATTTTAAAGATGTAATGCTTTATTATGTCTGTATGTTGGAGGTACATTTGACAGATATTTTCAAAATGGCTGCCATTTTTCATTAAAGTGGCATTTGTGGATAATACTACCTCTTCGCCAACTTCAGTCACATTTGAAATAAAAAATTAGATGTTAGATTTTAATATTTTTATTTTATTTGGTGGGATTTGCTACAATGTTGAGTTGCTGTGATTCTAGTTTATAATTACTGAAGAATATCGACTGAAAGTTTAAAGATTTATTCAAAATGTGAATATTATAAGTTTAAAGCATTTAAGACCATTGCCAAATCAGTTGTTGCCACATTGGTAACAAGAATTGCCACCAAGGAATGTAAGGGAATTGTCGCCATGGAATATCAACAAAGTGCCAGTGTGGGGATTTGGTTTAAGCATAAAGATAAATGTTGTCAGTGTAATCAAAAAAGTGGATGACCAATTTAGTTTTCTTTAATATCCAAATATTCAGAAATAATTACTCATGTTTCCAGTTATGGCCACCACATGTCATTTTTTCATTTAGTGTAATACTTCATATAACACTTCTCAGATTGGTCCAGATTTGTAATACACATGTAAATCATTTTAGTTCAAATTAGAATCTCATGTATATTAACCATTGATGTATTCTTTTGATTACTTGACATTAAGAATTAAAAAATGATTCTCATGGTCATTCAGATATAATTTTTGGAAAAATTCCCAATTTTCTTTTCTGTATCCTAATAATGAATGACACTTCGTATATAAGGGATGGTATGCAGTCCCAGCATCCCTCAGTGTCATATTGCATGTTGACTTACAAAATAATCTTGAAATGTAGTTATGACTGTATATTTTGTACTTAGAAATATATCATGTTTCATGTATCTAGATGACTGTATTTGTACAAAATATGTGTTTTGTTTGATATTTTGATTTACAAGAGGGCCCTTACTCATGCAGAGTTAATTCAAGAGAAATGATGAATAAAGTATTGTGATTTTACATTTTCCTGTACAAAAGGCCAAGATCACATAAATATTTCTTGGCAAACTAGGGTCAAGTGTCAGTATCTTTGTATCCTAAAACATTATGATTGTAGGTGCTCTACTGGTATTGGGTTCAAAAGGTCAATCACTTATATATATTTAGTTTAAGGTCATAGGAAGGCCAAGGTCAATCAATGTATCCCGTATAACTGGGATTTCAAAAAAGGCCAAGTAGAATGAGTGATATGAGAATATACAGTGTCAATGTAACAGCAATCTCCGATTCTGATTCTGCCTTTGACTCCGATCCCTTATAGGGTACATTTGCAAACTGATGACATGTGCAAATTTGCCCAAATCCATGTCTCCTCAATCCTCATTCAGTCATTAAGAATTTCTGAATTTAAGTGCAAGACTAGAAATGGCAACAAAGACCAGAGAATGTAAAAAGTTCGAAGCAATCTTTTCAAAAAGCAACCCTAATGTTTCCCCAATTATCAATGAGATATCTGATCAAGTATAAAAGTTATTGAAGTTGAAATGGGATCATAAGCTTTTTCAATATCATCGAAAGCATAATCATTAAGCTTTGTTACACCTTCAATGAAAACCTTGCACGTAGATCTTTGCCAGGAAATGTAATTGAAGTCGAGAATAACCCCATCTATAATGCTCATGTGAGACTATACTACTAGTTAACAGAACAATTAATCCCAGTACTCAATGTAAGTCAGGTTTTATTCATCACTGTTCATTTCATTAATACATTTATTGCATTTATGATGCTGGAAAACATATAACTAGAATGTACTATTGGAATGACTTCAGTTTACATACAAAACATCTATTCAGATGTTGTCCTTTGCAGAATTCTGTCTGAATTGCACATGCTTTGATAGAAGGTACTTATTTAAGCATCAACTAATAACAACTAAAAACTCATACCCGTTTTTATCCTGCAATGACTTGAAAGTGTTTTAAATGTGACAGGATATTCCTGGTATCTATTTTGATAACAGGTGGATATGAGAACATAAACAAGAGCTTGTCCCAATATATTATAAAACAGATTAAAGCTTGTTTTCAATCACATTCCTAAATATGCAATCTTCCATCCTGAATATATAATGGCTGTGTAATGTGAGGTTTTGGAAACAGGGTTTATCCCGGGGGAAATATATGTTTCTTCAAATGTACAAGGGTAGATATTTATATTTCCCCTGGAATCTCATGTCTCTCATACTTGAAGTGGTTGGGGGATAACATCATCTTCTAAAATATAATTTTTGACTCAAAGAAACAAGATCTATTTTAATTTTCTTATACTATCCCAGAGCTTTTAAATTCTAATTAGCATTTGATTAACCAGTGAACTGTTAAATAATGAAATAGAAACTTTAAATTCCATGTATGGAGATGGTTAGATATATATAATATCCATCCTCTCTATGGTTTGAGCAGTACATAAGGAAAATATCCCATCTGCTCCTAAAATATGCCATTTATTCCTGAATGTTATCTCCCCTAAACCCTTTTATGAGATACAACTCTCTAATCAATGGATAAAAAGGCTATCCTTTGATCAGATTAGAAATGGGATATATCCAAATCCCTCAATACAACACTAAACACTGAGCTAGAGTAACTGCCAAGAATTCCTAGTTGAGTTTATACATATGCATGTATTTAAGAATCTTAAAATTGTTAATAATGTGTAATCAAAAATTTCTCATTGTAAATTAAGAGTACAATAATGCTGCTAAACTGGCTCGTTAAGTGCCGACTAAAATGACTTAGTATCATAAAACTTGAGAGTCAAATGCATTTTCAAATGCACGTTTCAAATCTGAGAACATTTCAATTAAATCGGCTAACCTGACTTGTACATGATATATTACAGTTGCATTGCCTCATATGGCAGGAATATTCCATATTTACAGTTAAGTTACATATACAGATATTTACATGGGGTATTTCTAATGCTGTTGGGAGCATATTAGTTATATACTACTTATTTGAAGTACATCCAATTATGAGAGACTTCATATGACAGACAGGTTTGTATATTTAACCACTGTAACATGTATGAGATCAATATGATCATGTGTTATAACTATTTAATGAAGTTCCCGATTTCCTTGTAAGCTCCTAAGGGTCCCCTAATTCATCAAAGTACTAATAGAGTTTGTGTTGAAGCAAATGGTGTGGAGCATCATCTATTACCACATGCCATTGTTATCTTATATATTCATCTAATTCTCGTTATTTTAACATGATTATGTTCTGTTGCAGTTCACTACCTCCATAAGTCAAATATTTGATAATAAATAGTATGAATATATTCATTTGAAATAAAAATTGAATCTAATTAATCGTAACCTAACCTAATTGTAATCGTAATCAAACCATGAGGCAAATATTCACATATGCATGGAATATAGTCATGAAGGTGTTTGAAGAATCAGGGAACCCCAAAAAAGCTACATTAAAACTTTTCAACATACAAGTCTTTAATATCCACAACTCTAAACTCACAACTTGTGTAAGACACCAACCTATCAGTTAAGCCACAGTTCATATATGACCTATCTTTTTTTAAATAATCTATTACATCATTGGATTAAGTATCAGTTTGATACTGTATTCAATATATTAATGAGATTAGTTTTCCCACATCCTCCGATCACAGGGCTTCAAAATCCAGAATATATTCTTTCTTTTTACCCCCTGCGATAAGCAGTTAGCATTTCCCCGATTAAGAACTCACAATCTGATTGGCTGTCGCAACACTGCGACAGAAATCATGTATAAGTCATTGCGCATAATTAGATCACGTGATTCAGTTTTTATGCAATCAGGCGCTTCCAAATTGGTTATAGCAGGGGGGAAGGAGGTACGGATTTTGGATACCTGCTTAGGAGGATGGTTTTCCCATGGCTCAACTCATATGTTCTATCCTAGCACTGTGTTTCATTTAAAGTGTCCAAGTTAACCAGGTCAATTTCTCTTAGCTGCCAGATTTCCTCTTCTGGTTGGAAATTACACATGAGCTTATTATGCTGGCTGGTGGCATAGGGGGATACAAAGCCACTTTCTAAACTTTGCTTACGATCATCTATCAGTGAATTTGATTGGTCAAAGTTGTTTATCAGTGGATCTAATTGGTCAATATCATGTAATGAGGTAGAACTAGATTCAGAACTGGTTGAGTGAAACCCACTTTCACGATTGCATTTGCGCGGAGTAGCTTTTAGTTTATACTGTTCAATGTTCATAACTTCTGAGACCGATCTTCCAAAAGGTGTCTCCAAAAACATGTCTTCATTACTAGATGTAAGTCTGTCCTCATCTGTTTCAGGAATGACAGATTCACCAAGGTTGATGTCTTTTCCTATGAGACCACCATTACATATGTCTGTAAGATTTGTAATCGCTGTTGAGTTACTTGACGAGCTTACACTTGTGATACCACTATCTTTGCGATGATTGGGAATAGATGGGGCATTTGAATCAAAGGAGTAATGTGAGGTTACATTATTTGAGGTCACATCGTTATTTGAGGTTACATCTTTATTTGAGGTTATATTATGGTTAGGATAAGTTTTCTGCAGCAATGTGTCCTGCTCAGATTTTGAACATATATTGGCACTTGTGTCTTCCTGATCATATTCTTGAGAATTTTGACTAGTCTCAGGAACCACACTCAGTTTCCTGTCCTTCACAATACCACCATTTTGGTGGCCAGTAGTTCCATTTGATAAAGATGGGGCAGCCACCTTGACTGCTGATTTGGGTGATGTATTTAATGATTTGTTATAAGGTGTCTTTGGTGAAATATGTGGCAGAATTCCCTTTTGTGAGTTTAAAGAATTGTCTGTTGAACGGCAATCAGTGTAGCATGTTTTCACTGAGCCCTCTGATTGGTTTCGATTATTCATATGCACTGCAAGTCGACGATTCTGTGCTTCACTGATTGAATCTCCTCTACTATAATACTCTGATCTGTATTTGAGGGTGTACTTCTGGCACAAGCCTCGTCTGTTTAATATATTAAAGAAATCCTTTCTGAACTGTTTGGTAAATATTGCGTACAGGAAAGGGTTGGCACAGCTATTTAAGGGATAAAAGAACACCAAAAGTACCTTTGATTTGGTGACGTTAATAAGAGGAGATCCCAGCGCTGCAGTTATAGCAAAGAATGCGATTGGAGCGAAACATGCAAAGTCTGTGAATATGAGAATGGACATACGTTTAGCAATGGTGGCATCATTGTTGCGATTGGTCCCATCTTGATTGGACCTCACTTGAATGAAGATGTTGATATAACAAAAGCTGATGGTGATAAAGGCTAATGCATTCATAACCAGAAGGGACATGACATATGCAAGATCCCCTCCATTTTCAATACGAAAGGGGAGGCACGTGCTCGTTTGACTGTAACTGCTAATGTTCACTAAAGGTAGCATTGCCATGAAAATAGCAAACAGCCAGCCAAATGACATAATCAAGGTGGCTTGACGGAGTCGTATACGTTTAGTGAGGTGAATGGCATGTTTAATAGCGTACCAGCGCTCTATCGTCATGACAGTTAACGTGTAAATGGACAACTGACTTGCAAAAATAGTAAGAAAGCCAGCAACCTGGCAACCTCCCTCATATTGCCACTGGATGGCAAAGTTGAAGTACTCCCCAAGGGTCATTGCATCAACTGAGGCTAGAATCAACAAATAAATCCCTAGTACAATATCAGCAAATGCTAAGTTACACATCAAGAATTTTGAGACTGTCAATTTCTGCTTGTTGAACAGTGTAGCTAGGGTAACACTAAATACCACGATGTTGCCAATGACTGCTGCCAAGGCAATAATCCACACAAACACCCTGAGCCACACAAAACCCATCACATCTTCACATGGGTTGAAATCATCAGGTTCTGGGCTGCATTCCATTTCATGGAATATCTTAACAGGGTCACCGCACAAGTGTGTTGATTTATGAGTAACATTTTCAGGTATTGGAGTTCCCCACCTATCAGCTAGCTGCTTATAGGAATCAGATTCACTGTCTCCATCACTGTCTCCAGGGCCAAAATGACCAAAACCACCACCTCCATCCATATCACCACTTATATTGCTTTTCTCACTTGTACTAGGACCCCCAAAGCTGCCAAAATTAGCTTCTATGCCTATATCCCCAATACTGCTATTATCATTAAAAATAGATTTGCTAGGTCCAAAGTCCAGGATTCTTTGGGAGAAGAAGCGCTTTGGCCTCGCTCTTCTTTTAGCCCCTCGCTTCACTGTGGTATGGTATCCTTGAAGAGATTTCAGTTCATTACTATAACGTGTGATCATAGCTTGTGTAGGGGTGGGTGGGCCCAAGCTACTCTTACAATCTTCCTGCACCTTTTGCACAAAGATCTTCCATTCTGCAGGTTCTTGTTTGTCAGGGTTCCAGAAAGCACAGCAGTGGTGTTTGTAATGTACCTGAAAATAGAATGTGTGAAAACTCAAGATAGGCACAGCAGAGGTGTTTGTTATGTACCTGAAAATTAAATGTGGACAGCTTAAGATAGGCACAGCAATTCTGTTTGTAATATACCTGAAAATAAAATGTGTGACATCTTAAAATAGGCACGGCAATTGTGTTTGAAATGTGCCTGAAAAATAGAATGTGTGACAGCTTAAGATATCATGGGCACAGCAGTGGTGTTTGTAATGTACCTGAAAATAGAATGTGTGACAGCTTAAGATATCATAGGCACAGCAGTGGTGTTTGTAATGTACCTGAAAATAGAATGTGTGACAGCTTAAGATATCATGGGCACAGCAGTGGTGTTTGTAATCTACCTGAAAATAGAATGTGTGACAGCTTAAGATATCATAGGCACAGCAGTGGTGTTTGTAATGTACCTGAAAATAGAATGTGTGACAGCTTAAGATAGGCACATCAGTGGTGTTTGTAATGTACCTGAAAATAGAATGTGTGACAGCTTAAGATATCATAGGCACAGCAGTGGTGTTTGTAATGTACCTGAAAATAGAATGTGTGACAGCTTAAGATAGGCACAGCAGTGGTGTTTGTAATGTACCTGAAAATAGAATGTGTGACAGCTCAAGATATCATAGGCACAGCAGTGGTGTTTGTAATGTACCCGAAAATAAAATGTGTGACAGCTTAAAATAGGCACGGCAATTGTATTTGTAATGAACCTGAATATAGAATGTGTGACAACTCAAGATAGCCCCAGCAAATGTATTTGTAATGTACCTGAAAAATAGAATATGTGACATCTCAAGATAGGCACAGCAGTGGTGTTCGTAATGTACCTGAAAATAGAATGTGTGGCAACTCAAGATAGGCACACCAATTGTGTTTGTAATGTATCTGAAAATATAATGCATGACAGCTTAAGATTGGCACGGCAATTGTGTTTGTAATGTACCTAAAAAATAGAATATGTGACATCTCAAGATAGGCACAGCAGTGGTGTTTGTAATGTACCTGAAAATAGAATGTGTGACAGCTTTAGATAGGCTCAGCAATTGTGTTTGTAATGTATCTGAAAATAGAATGCATGACAGCTTAAAGGACAACTGAAATAGCTTTTCTCAACTTGCAGCTACAAAAATGCGGTTTTCTCCATTGTAAGCCCAACGTAGAGTTCTTGCGATAGCCATTATAAAATAAATGTTAGATAACTGCTAACGGTCATAAATAACGAAACAAAACTAACTGATCAATCAAATTGGCCCCCACGTGATAAGTAACGTCATATACAAAATATAGCTTTGGTTTGTTGGTTCCTTAGTAATCACAACGTCACAGCAACCATAGGATTGTAGTGTAAACCAAAACAAAACATTTAGGCATTATGACGTTATGGGCCACGTGGGGACCAGTGAGAGATCACGTGGGGGCCAATAACGTCACAACCAATTCGAATATTGCTTATTAAGCAGCTATAACGATCGTTAGAGTGAAATCATTTTCGCACTACTGATGAGAAAACATGTCCAAATACTAGGGGTGAGACGAGTCGAAAAAATCCGATTCGAGTCGAATCCGATTCGAGTCACAAAATGACGATTCGAGTTTCGAATCCGTTTCGAGTCGCGCGAAGTGCGAACAACATCGCTTTTGACCGTTCGTATTTTTAATGCGTCAATGGTGGAAAGCCGGAAATATAAACAAACAAAATTCGTCGTAAGTTTATTCTGATTTTATTACATATATTCTTTCATTTATGTGTACATACAATATAATAATTTAATACAAGCATATCCAAGTCATTGAAACTTATATATTCAACGCAATATCGAGTAAAAACATGCATATTGACAGTATTTTTCTGAATTTTTTTATTTTTTCGAATTTTTTTCTCAACTCGAAAATGATTCGATTCATCAACTTCGACTCAATTCGACTCGACTCGAAGCCCCAAACCCGCGAGTCCTCGACTCATCGGGTTGTCGTCTCACCCCTACCAAATACATTTATCAAAAAATTATATTGATTCCTGTAGGTTAAAAATACCATTTCATATCTGCTTTAAGATAGGCACGGCAATTGTGTTTGTAATGTACCTAAAAATAGAATATGTGACAACTCAAGATAGGCTCAGCAATTGTGTTTGTAATGTATCTGAAAATAGAATGCATGAAAGCTTAAGATAGGCACGGCAATTGTGTTTGTAATGTACCTGAAAATAGAATATGTGACATCTTAAGATAGGCACAGCAGTGGTGTTTGTAATGTACCTGAAAATAGAATGCATGACAGCTTAAGATAGGCACGGCAATTGTGTTTGTAATGTACCTAAAAATAGAATATGTGCATCTCAAGATAGGCACAGCAGTGGTGTTTGTAATGTACCTGAAAATAGAATGTGTGACAGCTTAAGATAGGCACACCAATTGTGTTTGTAATATGCCTGTGTGATAGCTTAAGGTTAGCACAAAGTACAGCAATGATATTTTAGTGTACCTGAACACAATATGTGAACGTTTTTTCAGCTAAGGCCACCGGGGTACTACATGCCATGTGCACCAAGTACAATTAGCATCTTGCCAAGTACGAAGTATACATGTTGCCCAGCATGTGGACCAAGTTACAAGTCACATGCTGCCAAGTCCCATATTCAAAATTTTCGAAGTCTTAATGATAAACCTCGCATGTGCAGCATGTGGACCAAGTTAGCAAGTGACATGGTACCATGTTGCATGTTCAAATAGCATCTTGTCAAGTTTAAACTATACATCTCGCATGTGCTGCATGTGGACCAAGTTAGCAAGTGACATGCTGCCATGTTACATGTTCAAATAGCATCTTGCCAAGTTTAAACTATACATCTTGCATGTGCAGCATGTGGACCAAGTTAGCAAGTGACATGGTACCATGTTGCATGTTCAAATAGCATCTTGCCAAGTTTAAACTATATATCTCGCATGTGCTGCATGTGGACCAAGTTAGCAAGTGACATGCTGCCATGTTGCATGTTCAAATAGCATCTTGCCAAGTTTAAACTATACATCTCGCATGTGCAGCATGTGGACCAAGTTAGCAAGTGACATGCTACCATGTTGCATGTTCAAATAGCATCTTGCCAAGTTTAAACTATACATCTCGCATGTGCTGCATGTGGACCAAGTTAGCAAGTGACATGCTGCCATGTTGCATGTTCAAATAGCATCTTGCCAAGTTTAAACTGTACATCTCGCATGTGCAGCATGTGGACCAAGTTAGCAAGTGACATGCTACCATGTTGCATGTTGAAATAGCATCTTGTCAAGTTTAAACTATACATCTCGCATGTGCTGCATGTGGACCAAGTTAGCAAGTGACATGCTGCCATGTTACATGTTCAAATAGCATCTTGCCAAGTTTAAACTATACATCTTGCATGTGCAGCATGTGGACCAAGTTAGCAAGTGACATGGTACCATGTTGCATGTTCAAATAGCATCTTGCCAAGTTTAAACTATATATCTCGCATGTGCTGCATGTGGACCAAGTTAGCAAGTGACATGCTGCCATGTTGCATGTTCAAATAGCATCTTGCCAAGTTTAAACTATACATCTCGCATGTGCAGCATGTGGACCAAGTTAGCAAGTGACATGCTACCATGTTGCATGTTCAAATAGCATCTTGCCAAGTTTAAACTATACATCTCGCATGTGCTGCATGTGGACCAAGTTAGCAAGTGACATGCTGCCATGTTGCATGTTCAAATAGCATCTTGCCAAGTTTAAACTGTACATCTCGCATGTGCAGCATGTGGACCAAGTTAGCAAGTGACATGCTACCATGTTGCATGTTGAAATAGCATATTGCCAAGTTTAAACTATACAACTCGCATGTGCAGCATGTGGACCAAGTTGCCAAGTGACATGGTACCATGTTGCATGTACAGATAGCATCTTGCCAGGTTTAAACTATACATCTCGTCTCGCATGTGCAGCATGTGGACCAAGTTAGCAAGTGACATGCTACCATGTTGCATGTTGAAATAGCATCTTGCCAAGTTTAAACTATACAACTCGCATGTGCAGCATGTGGACCAAGTTGCCAAGTGACATGGTACCATGTTGCATGTACAAATAGCATCTTGCCAAGTTTAAACTATACAGCTCGCATGTGCAGCATGTGGACCAAGTTGCCAAGTGACATGGTACCATGTTGCATGTACAGATAGCATCTTGCCACGTTTAAACCATACGACTCACATGTGCAGCATGTGGACCAAGTTGCCAAGTGGCATGCTGCCATGTTGCATGTTCGAATAGCATCTTGCCAAGTTTCAACTATACATCTCTCATGTGCAGCATGTGGATCAAGTTCCAAAATGACACCTTTGTTTATTTGGAATGGGAAATTAAATGATAAAATATATTTTTAAACTAAAAAGTTTGTTTAATGAACGGTAAAACGAATGAAATGAACACAAATTTGGAAAATGTAATTTAAAAAATGGTAAATTGGTATATAAGTTTGAGCTTTGTAGTAAGCATATGAAGAAATCATCCTCTACAATATTCTTGGTTAGCTGACCACTAACTCCCGGGCACTGACTACATTTGTATTCTGCCACTCTCAGGCCAGTAGTCAGCTTTTACCAGGGAGGGAAGCAGGGGGGAGGGCTGTTTTTAAAGAATTCCATGAGGGATTTGACTTTTCCTTTGCATTATACCTTAGAATTCACACATGTAAAATGTTTCAATATGATAATAATAGATTACTAACTTTATGTTCTCATAAAACAAAAATAGATTGCAGAGAATAATTTATTATGTAGAGATGATTTTATTATGGAATAATTGTGAAGTAATAAACTTGTTAATGTTACAAAGCTATGAACAGCATATTACTGTATCATATACAATTATTCTAACACAATTCTAAACACATGTGAACATTATAGTATCCTTGTATTAATGTTCCAATCTGAGTGTCAGTTAGTTCACTAAGTAGGCTCCCTGGTCAGAAACATCTTGAATTCTTGAATAAGTAGAAATAAGAATATAACTGTATTTATGTAGAATTGAAAATCTGTATATCTGCAAATATAGAACATTTACCATTGCCCATGAGTTTTCTGCTCTGTAGAAAGACCATAAATGCACATCTTTATGAATTTATATAATCAATAGCACTTTAAGTCCCCATATAAGGTCGAAATCACTTTGGCTTATACTGTCTTACTCAGTGTTATATGGAAGAATGTGAAACTTATTTTAATTGCTAATTATGAATTTATATAAAACTAACTTTTATAACTAACTTTTAGAGATCACATATATATTCTAATAAGCGATAATTCAAACCAATGCATAGCATTCATCCTCACATGATTTTGGTGAAAAATTAAGAAAATTGGTTCAAGAATAGGCGAGAAATGAACTCGTCAATGCTTTAAAATGGTTCAGAGAAAAATGTATTTCAAAATTTCTTCTTTCCTCCCGTATTTTTGACTGAAATCTCCCTTAATCTACCGTGTTTGAGCTAAATCTACAGTCAGTAACCTTGATTATTGGACTTCTTTCTTTTACTTTCAGTTTTACAGCAGGGAAATGTATATTTTCTGTAAAAACTGAGCGAGCAAAGGAACCCTCATAATACTTGTTCAGGGCCAACTTACATCATGGGCTTTTAATAATCAGCCTGATTACTCATTAATTTTTGTCATATTCTTTTGTTTTCCCATTTCATTTGACTAAACTTTTATTCACCATAACCTCGTTCAAAACCAATTTCAGGTTGGCAGGTCTGACGTTAGTTGCAAAATATTTTTGATATGCTAAACCATTGAAGTGGCGCATCATTAAAAAAAATTCAACTTTTATTTGAAAAATGGCGGGAAATTTGATAACGAGAAATGAAAAAATTCAAAAAATGAATTTAACCCTTACCCCAAAAAATGAATTTAACCCTAAGACCATGAATATGTGTGTCAAAAATGTAAAATAAATTAAAAAATGAATTCCATAAATAAATAAATTTTTCTATGTCAAAATATAGAAAAAAGAATTTAATTCTAACCTTAACCCTAACCCTAACCATCCCCAACCCTATTAAACCAGATGGAGTTTTAAATGATTACCTAACCCTGACCTACCCACTGAGGACACAGGACGCGTACCAGACCCTAATGATACAGGGTCTACTTGGCAGGAGCAGCGATCGCTATCAGTAGGGTCTGGCACATGAACACCGCTCCTGCAAAGAGAAATGAGTTAACCGTAGCCTTAACCCTAACCCTAATTACCAACCCCAACCCTATCAAACCAGATGGAGTTTTAAATGATTACCTAACCCTGACCTACCCACTGAGGACACAGGACGCGTACTAGACCCTAATGATACAGGGTCCAATTGGCAGGAGCGGTAATCGCATACCAGACCCTAATGATACAGAGTCCACTTGGCAGGAGCAGCGTTCGCATACCAGACCCTAATGATACAAGATCCACTTGGCAGGAGCGGCAATTGTGTACCAGACCCTAATGCAGGCCTGTCAACTTGGGAACACCTAACATGAGTGACTTGGAAATGTTGAACACCTCCCCTCAAAATGTGGACACCTTGGTCCAAATCTGAACACCTTGATCCAAATTTTGAACACCTTGGATTAAATTTTATTACATTTTGCCAAATTTTGAACACCTCAAATTTTTCGCGCTCGCTACGCTCGGGTTCCAAACATCCATCAACGGGGGGGGGGGGGGGGGGGGGGGGGGGGTAGGTACGATATATTTCGAACAGAATGCGTGACATATACGTAATTCGCGTGAAAAGTCCGAACGAAATGCGTATACGTTTTTTTCCGGCGTTCGTATTTTTGCTGTGTAGACGATCTTTTTTAGAATTTTTTCTAAAGAAATATTTTTGCTTGACAATTACCAGGTAAAATGCGTATTTGCGTGACATTTTCTGTCACGCAAAAATAACTGGCGTGACTTCAAATTCTTCAGCAAATGCGTGACAAATACGCAAATTGCGGGACAGTTGACAGGCCTGCTAATGATACAGGGTCCACTTGGCAGGAGCGGCGTTTGCATACCAGACCCTAATGATACAGGATCTACTTAGCAGGAGCAGCGATCCCTAACCAACCCTATTAAACCAGATGGGGTTTTAAATGATTACCTAACCCTGAACTACCCACTGAGGACACAGGACACGTACCAGACCCTAATGATACAGGAACCACTTTGCAGGCCCTAATGATAGAGGGTCCACTTGGCAGGAGCGGCATTCGTGTACCAGACCCTAATGATACAGGGTCCACTTGGCAGGAGCGGCGATCGTGTACCAGACCCTAATGATAGAGGGTCCACTTGGCAGGAGCGGCATTCGTGTACCAGACCCTAATGATACAAGGTTCACTTTGCAGGAGCAGCGATCGCTATCAGTAGGGTCTGGCACATGAACACCGCTCCTGCAAAGTGAAATGAGTTTAAACCGTAACCTCAACCCACCCTAACCAACCCTATTAAACCAGATGGGGTTTTAAATGATTACCTAACCCTGACCTACCCACTGAGGACACAGGACACGTACCAGACCCTAATGATACAGGGTCCACTTGGCAGGAGCAGCGTTCGCATACCAGACCCTAATGATACAAGATCCACTTGGCAGGAGCGGCAATTGTGTACCAGACCCTAATGATACAGGGTCCACTTGGCAGGAGCGGCGTTTGCATACCAGACCCTAATGATACAGGATCTACTTAGCAGGAGCAGCTATCCCTAACCAACCCTATTAAACCAGATGGGGTTTTAAATGATTACCTAACCCTGAACTACCCACTGAGGACACAGGACGCGTATCAGACCCTAATGATACAGGGTCCACTTGGCAGGAGCGGCGATCATGTACCAGACCCTAATGATAGAGGGTCCACTTGGCAGGAGCGGCATTCGTGTACCAGACCCTAATGATACAAGGTTCACTTTGCAGGAGCAGCGATCGCTATCAATAGGGTCTGGCACATGAACGCCGCTCCTGCAAAGTGAAATGAGTTTAAACCGTAACCTCAACCCACCCTAACCAACCCTATTAAACCAGATGGGGTTTTAAATGATTACCTAACCCTGACCTACCCACTGAGGACACAGGACACGTACCAGACCCTAATGATACAGGAACCACTTTGCAGGAGCGGCGATCGTGTCCCAGACCCTAATGATAGAGGGTCCACTTGGCAGGAGCGGCATTCGTGTACCAGACCCTAATGATACGAGGTCAACTTGGCAGGAGCTGCGATTGCGTACCAGACCCTAATGATACAGGGTCAACTTGGCAGGAGCGGTGATCACATACCAAACCCTAATGATAAAGTGTCCACTTGGCAGGAGCAGCGTTCACGGTTCACGTACATCTTTTATTGACTCAGATGTCATCACAATGACATATTAGTCAGTACAATGTACAATATACAAAAATAACTTAGACTAAACTAACTACAAAATACAAAATGTAAACAACATGACAAATGCAAAAATATAAGTTATGAGTCAAGTTTTAAATACAGCATAAGAAAATGTAAAATATCAGTGTGATGTATCATTGACACAATGTTCATCCAACACATATACAATGTATGAATTAAAGATCATTGCCAGGATCAATAAATGACTATGTCTGTTGAACTTGGCAACATGCACACATGGCACCACCAACATTTCTGGTACATGGTACAGATGCTAATACAAGATGGCAAGTGGAACCATGTTGAGCATTAATAGACATTATTATAACATGGACATCCAACATGCCATGCTACAGCCAATAGCCATATTTATCACATGACAACATGCTGTACTTGGTAAGTTGTGAACTTGGGATCACTTGAATCAAGGTACTTGGCACACATGCAAATATAAGATGGCAAGTATGCCAATGCAACATGTATAAATCAACATGCACATCCAACATGCGAACATGGCAGTACTCACAAATTCTGATACATGTACACATGCTAAAACAAGATGCCATGTCCAACCAAAATAGTACATGTTCCAATCTAGAATAAATCTTGAATTATCACTTGCACATTCAACATGCCATGTTGAGCCAGTTGCTCTGTCTTTCACATGCTAGACCAGTAGCATCTTGTCAGAAAGGTACTTGCTAAAATATTGCCATGTTACAAACAAGTATATGCCAAGTGACTGCATCTTGTAGATATTACCACTTGGCAACATGGCAGAACATGGCATGTTTGGACCCGGTGGCCATAAATGCGTTTTTTCTTAAACAATACTAATGTTCATATAACGTCTATGAGCTTAAAATATAATTCCCTGCCATGAAATTGTAGTGTTCTTTTAATATCAATAGGAGTTCAACATACATGTATCTGTATAAGAGTTTAATCCTCAAAACTTAGTAGAATACCTTTGCTTTCTGTATACTTGGGAACTTCAAGGCTGGAGGAAGCTTGCGTAACGTTGCAACCTCCTCAAGTATGATCTCATTCAAGTCTGTCAGACCGGCTGTTGGTAGCACATTGATCGCAGTGGATGACAGGTCCCTGGAAAATTTTTAATTATGTAGTACTATATCTCTCGAATAATCTCCATATGTTTTAATAATGCAGAATTAGAAAAATACCACTGTATGACACGTCCCGAGTAAAAGCTGAAGACGAAATATTGCGCCATCTTTGAAGCATAATAAAATAGTTTGTATATATATTGAGAACTATTAAGATATTTTACCAAAAAGGTAGAATAAGGATTTTATGCCCCATTCAGAAGAAAACCTTGAGAGATCAAGTTGATCTTGGATTTACCCCATCATAAGAACCATGGGCTTTCAAGAAGCCCATGTAAGAACTTACAATTTCTTGAGTTTCTTGCTGCCACTGAAGGCATCAGGCTGGATCTCTGTTAATTGTTTACATTTCCTCAGGTATAGATTCAAGATCTCAGCATCCATGAAGGCATAATCCTCTACCACTGTGATGGGATTCATCACAAGATATCTGAAACATGGACGTGTAATAGTTAAAGAATATTGAATCTACAATTCACTTTCAGTATCATTTAATCAAGAGAAAAAAGAAAGTGGAAATAAATTGTCTGACTTTAAATTATTTTTAATTGGCACAGATTCATTTGATAGTAATATACGAGGGGAGAGGATATCAGATACTAGACAAGATTACTGCTATGCATGTTTTATCAACTCATCTATAGTTACTGTACCATGTTGTTTGTTATGTAAATGTGAAAGGAGTGTGCCATTATATCATTATATAACCACTAATCATTCAATCTGGATCTACCGAGAGAAATACTAGACATTATCCCAAAGCAACTAAGGGACCAACTCAAACATTTCTTCAGCTTTTTATCAGTGGTAAAAACCACCCTGCTAAATTAAAACTCAGTTTTTGCATATATCATGACAAATTCGAGAATTCTACTCAGTTTAAAGTGATATACAAACTGACTTACAACTGATGACTGTGTACTTTGGCAAATGTTCCCTGGTTCACTCTCGTGATCTTATTTTCCCCAAGATTGCTGGAAATAAAGATACAATAAGCTAATGAAGATGAGACATGATAAAAATTGCAAAGCAAGAGTCAGAATGCCGTAACACACATGTACATATGTCCCTGAAGTATATATTCATAATTTCTTTATTAATCACTTGAGAAGATGACTTGGTGATGATGTTTCTGATGAAGGAGATGCAGCAGAACTGTTCGATACTGAGAATGTTGTAGTTTGCCAATACGACAAGGTAAACATGTTAAATGATAAAATGAGAATGTTGTAGTTTGCCAATACGACAAGGTAAACATGTTAAATGATAAAATGAGAATGTTGTAGTTTGCCAATACGACAAGGTAAACATGTTAAATGATAAAATGAGAATGTTGTAGTTTGCCAATACGACAAGGTAAACATGTTAAATGATGAAATGAGAATGTTGTAGTTTGCCAATACGACAAGGTAAACATGTTAAATGATAAAATGAGAATGTTGTAGTTTGCCAATACGACAAGGTAAACATGTAAAATGATAAAATGAGAATGTTGTAGTTTGCCAATACGACAAGGTAAACATGTAAAATGATAAAATGAGAATGTTGTAGTTTGCCAATACGACAAGGTAAACATGTTAAATGATAAAATGAGAATGTTGTAGTTTGCCAATACGACAAGGTAAACATGTTAAATGATAAAATGAGAATGTTGTAGTTTGCCAATATGACAATGTAAACATGTTAAATGATAAAATGAGAATGTTGTAGTTTGCCAATATGACAAGGTAAACATATTAAAATGATAAAATGAGAATGTTGTAGTTTGCCAATATGACAAGGTAAACATATTAAATGATAAAATGAGAATGTTGTAGTTTGCCAATATGACAAGGTAAACATATTAAATGATAAAATGAGAATGTTGTAGTTTGCCAATATGACAAGGTAAACATATTAAATGATAAAATGAGAATGTTGTAGTTTGCCAATATGACAAGGTAAACATATTAAATGATAAAATGAGAATGTTGTAGTTTGCCAATATGACAAGGTAAACATGTTAAATGATAAAATGAGAATGTTGAGAATTAATTATGTGAAGACGTTTAATGAGCTAATCATATATAGATGAAACTAATAAAGCAAAAATAGAAAGTCCTCAAATTAAATATTATTTGATATTTTCATATTGAAAAATAAAGAGACAATTATTGATACTCAAGAGAGAGAAAATGCCAAGTTTAATCACTCTAAGTTCAGATCTAAGTAGACTAAAAATGGCATCTTGTGAACTTCAAAGTAACAATGTAAATCTCAGCAGCTGACAGGTATTCCAGTTACAGGTAGAATTTAGTACTTTGTGTATTTCAATTAAATAGCCAAGGGTACCAAAATTTGTTAAAAAAAGATTTTGCAGAGGAGCGTGAAATACCAGTTATTTCCTGAATATGGAAAAAGCGAAAGCACTGCAGCAAATGAGGTCATCAAACCGAACAGCAAAAGTTTGATCATACAGGCATTGGACTCCCCACATTGCCCTTGTTATAATGCGATAATGTAAAAGTGGAGAATATATATAATATACTTTAAGTAGTATTGTATACACAGTAAATGTTGTTTTTTTAGAAAAATAAAGCAATAAAAGATAACTAAGTTGATTTCATTGTATGTTCGATTAGTAATAAGAATATCATAGTGTTTCATAGTTTTAATAGATTTGACTGTTTACTGATCATTATTTGAATTATAAAACATTTCCTATATATTTCCAGATCAACAGAAGTAAGAACAAATGGAAATTCCACTTGAAAGATGGTATTATGAACTTAAAGGGTAAAGACTATGTCTTTCAAAAAGCCAATGGAGATGCTGAATGGTGACAAACATTGAAGATTAATCAACTTTGGAAAATAGTGGAATGGAGTGCATTGATATTTGTAGTTCAAAGAAAAATGCATACTGCGTGCAAATACTTATACATAAGTTTTAAGATGCCAATGAAGATGTATTTTGCCAAAGATGTCTGAGATTTTCTCCTATCTCTGAATATGTACAAGAAATTTAAATGTTCAAGTTTTACTCATATATAGATCATTCTGGGGTTGATACATGTACATGTATTTGCCAAGAATTACAAAGTTGTTGCAGTCATGAGTCATTTTATCCCACCAAAGTTTGAGTAGGGATATAGAGAATCCATTTGAGCACCCATCATCCATTAGTTTTACTTCATTAAGAATGACCACCATTTTTTTTGTTAAAAATAATTTTTAGATTTTTGACTTTAAATGTGATGCAGCTCTATCAACTTTGACGATGATTAAATGCAATGATATCTGTTTAAGGGGTAATTTTCAAAATGGCCACAATTTTTGCGTGAAAAAGCTGATGCTTTTTACTTGAATATTGTATGATGGATTTACAGTGTATATGTATTTTAAAGATGTAATGCTTTATTATGTTGGAGGTACATTTGACAGATATTTTCAAAATGGCTGCCATTTTTCATTAAAGTGGCATTTGTGGATAATACTACCTCTTCGCCAACTTCAGTCACATTTGAAATAAAAAATTAGATGTTGGATTTTAATATTTTTATTTTATTTGGTGGGATTTGCTACAATGTTGAGTTGCTGTGATTCTAGTTTATAATTACTGAAGAATATCGACTGAAAGTTTAAAGATTTATTAAAAATGTGAATATTATAAGTTTAAAGGAAAGACCATTGCCAAATCAGTTGTTGCCACATTGGTAACAAGAATTGCCACCATGGAATGTAAGGGAACTGTCGCCATGGAATATCAACAAAGTGCCAGTGTGGGGATTTGGTTTAAGCATAAAGATAAATGTTATCAGTGTAATCAAAAAGTGGATGAACAATTTAGTTTTCTTTAATATGCAAATATTCAGAAATAATTACTTGTGTTTCCAGTTATGGCCACCACATGTCTTTTTTTTCATTTAGTGTAATACTTCATATAACACTTCTCAGATTGGTCCAGATTTGTAATACACATGTAAATCATTTTAGTTCAAATTAGAATCTCATATATTAACCATTGATGTATTCTTTTGATTACTTGACATTAAGAATTAAAAAATGATTCTCATATGGTCATTCAGATATAATTTTTGGAAAAATTCCCAATTTTCTTTTCTGTATCCTAATAATGAATGACACTTCGTATATAAGGGATGGTATGCAGTCCCAGCATCCCTCAGTGTCATATTGCATGTTGACTTACAAAATAATCTTGAAATGTAGTTATGACTGTATATTTTGTACTTAGAAATATATCATGTTTCATGTATCTAGATGACTGTATTTGTACAAAATATGTGTTTTGTTTGATATTTTGATTTACAAGAGGGCTCTTACTCATGCAGAGTTTATTCAAGAGGAATGATGAATAAAGTATTGTGATTTTACATTTTCCTGTACAAAAGGCCAAGATCACATAAATATTTCTTGGCAAACTAAGGTCAAGTGTCAGCATCGTTGTATCCTAAAACATTGAGATTGTAGGTTCTCTACTGGTATTGGGTTCAAAAGGTCAATCACTTATATATATTTAGTTTAAGGTCATAGGAAGGCCAAGGTCAATCAATGTATCCCATATAACTGGGATTTCAAAAATAGGCCAAGTAGAATGGGTGATACTGAGAATATACAGTGTCAATGTAATGGCAATCTCTGATTCTGCCTTTGACTCCGATCCCTTATAGGGTACATTTGCAAACTGATGACATGTGCAAATATGCCCAAATCCATGTCTCCTCAATCCTCATTCAGTCATTAAGGATTTCTGAATTTAAGTGTAAGGTTAGAACATGGGCTTTCAACTCTAATTGAAAGCCCATGGTTAGAAGTGGCAACAAAGACCAGAGAATGTAAAATGTTCGAAGCAATCTTTTCAAAAAGCAACCCTAATGTTTCCCCAATTATCAATGAGATATCTGATCAAGTATAAAAGTTATTGAAGTTGAAATGGGATCATAAGCTTTTTCAATATCATTGAAAGCATGATCATTAAGCTTTGTTACACCTTCAATGAAAACCTTGCAAGTAAATCTTTGCCAAGAAATGTAATTGAAGTAGAGAATAACCCCATCTATAATGCTCATGTGAGACTATCTTACTAGTTAACAGAACAATTAATCCCAGTACTCAATATTAGTCAGGTTTTATTCATCACTGTTCACTTCATTAATACATTTATTGCATTTATGATGCTGGAAAAGTTGTAACATATAACTAGAAAGTACTATTGGAATGATTTCAGTTTACATACAAAACATCTATTCAGATGTTGTCCTTTGCAGAATTCTGTCTGAATTGCACATGCTTTGATAGTAGGTACTTATTTAAGCATCAACTAATAACAACTAAAAACTCATACCCATTTTTATCCTGCAATGACTTGAAAGTGTTTTAAATGTGACAGGATATTTCTGGTATCTATTTTGATAACAGGTGGATATGAGAACATAAACAAGAGCTTGTCCCAATATATTGTAAAACAGATTAAAGCTTGTATTCAATCACATTCCTAAATATGCAATCTTCCATCCTGAATATATAATGGTTGTGTAATGTGAGGTTTTGGAAACAGGGTTTATCCCGGGGGAAATATATGTTTCTTCAAAAGTACAAGGGTAGATATTTATATTTCCCCTGGAATCTCATGTCTCTCATACTTGAAGTGGTTGGGGGATAACATCATCTTCTAAAATATAATTTTTGACTCAAAGAAACGAGATCTATTTTAATTTTCTTATACTATCCCAGAGCTTTTAAATTCTAATTAGCATTTGATTAACCAGTGAACTGTTAAATAATGGAATAGAAACTTTAAATTCCATGTATGGAGAGGGTTAGATATATATAATATCCATCCTCTCTATGGTTTGAGCAGTACATAAGGAAAATATCCCATCTGCTCCTAAAATATGCCATTTATTCCTGAATGTTATCTCCCCTAAACCCTTTTATGAGATACAACTCTCTAATCAATGGATAAAAAGGCTATCCTTTGATCAGATTAGAAATGGGATATATCCAAATCCCTCAATACAACACTAAACACTGAGCTAGAGCAACTGCCAAGAATTCCTTGTTGAGTTTATACATATGCATGTATTTAAGAATCTTAAAATTGTTAATAATGTGTAATCAAAAATTTCTCATTGTAAATTAAGAGTACAATAATGCTGCTAAACTGGCTCGTTAAGTGCCGACTAAAATGACTTAGTATCATAAAACTTGAGAGTCAAATGCATTTTCAAATGCACGTTTCAAATCTGAGAACATTTCAATTAAATCGGCTAACCTGACTTGTACATAATATATTACAGTTGCATTGCCTCATATGGCAGGAATATTCCATATTTACAGTTAAGTTACATATACAGATATTTACATGGGGTATTTCTAATGCTGTTGGGAGCATATTAGTTATATATTACTTATTTGAAGTACATCCAATTATGAGAGACTTCATATGACAGACAGGTTTGTATATTTAACCACTGTAACATGTATGAGATCAATATGATCATGTGTTATAACTATTTCATGAAGTTCCCGGTTTCCTTGTAAGCTCCTAAGGGTCCCCTAATTCATCAAAATACTAATAGAGCTTGTGTTGAAGTATATGGTGTGGAGCATCATTTTTTACCACATGCCATTGTTATCTTATATATTCATCTAATTCTCGTTATTTTAACATGATTCTGTTCTGTTGTAGTTCACTACCTCCATAAGTCAAATATATTTGATAATAAATAGTATGAATATTCGTTTGAAATAAAAATATTTTGAATCTAATCGTAATCTAATCAAACCATGAGGCAAATATTCACATATGCATTGAATATTGTCATGAAGGTGTTTGAAGAATCAGGGGACCCCGAAAGCTACATAAAAACTTTTCAATATTCAAGTCTTTAATTTTCACAACTCTAAACTCACAACTTGTGTAAGACACCACCCTATTAGTTAAGCCACAGTTCAAATATGTATTCAAATTCAAATGACTCATTGACTCTGTCCTATCTTTTTTTAAATAATCTATTACATTATTGGACTGAGTATCAGTTTGATACTGTATTCAATATATTTATGAGATTAGTTTTCCCACATCCTCCGATCACAGGGCTTCAAAATCCAGAATATATTCTTTCTTTTTACCCCCTGCGATAAGCAGTTAGCATTTCCCCGATTAAAAACTCGCAATCTGATTGTCTGCGACAGAAATCATGTATATATAAGTCATTACGCATAATTAGATCACGTGATTCAGTTTAATAGGGCGTTTCCAAATTGGGGGGAGGAGGTACGGATTCTGGATACCTGCTTAGGAGGATGGTTTTCCCATGGCTCAACTCATATGTTCTATCCTAGCACTGTGTTTCATTTAGAGTGTCCAAGTTAACCAGGTCAATTTCCCTTAGCTGCCAGATTTCCTCTTCTGGTTGGAAATTACACATGAGCTTATTATGCTGGCTGGTGGCATAGGGGGATACAAAGCCACTTTCTAAACTTTGCTTACGATCATCTATCATTGAATTTGATTGGTCAAAGTTGTTTATCAGTGGATCTGATTGGTCAATATCATGTAATGAGGTAGAACTAGATTCAGAACTGGTTGAGTGAAACCCACTTTCACGATTGCATTTACGCGGAGTAGCTTTTAGTTTATACTGTTCAATGTTCATAACTTCTGAGACAGATCTTCCAAAAGGTGTCTCCAAAAACATGTCTTCATTACTAGATGTAAGTCTGTCCTCATCTGTTTCAGGAATGACAGATTCACCAAGGTTGATGTCTTTTCCCATGAGACCAGCATTACATATATCAGTAAGATTTGTAATCGCTGTTGAGTTACTTGCTGACGAGCTTACATTAGTAATACCACTATCTTTGCGATGATTGGGAATAGATGGGGCATTTGAATCAAAGGAGTAATGTGAGGTTACATTATTTGAGGTCACATCGTTATTTGAGGTTACATCTTTATTTGAGGTTATATTATGGTTAGTATAAGTTTTCTGCAGCAATGTGTCCTGCTCAGATTTTGAACATATATTAGCACTTGTGTCTTCCTGATCATATTCTTGAGAATTTTGACTAGTCTCAGGAACCACACTCAGTTTCCTGTCCTTCACAACACCACCATTTTGGTGGCCAGTAGTTCCATTGGATAAAGATGGGGCAGCCACCTTGACTGCTGATTTGGGTGATGTATTTAATGATTTGTTATAAGGTGTCTTTGGTGAAATATGTGGCAGAATTCCCTTTTGTGAGTTTAAAGAATTGTCTGTTGAACGGCAATCAGTGTAGCATGTTTTCACTGAGCCCTCTGATTGGTTTCGATTATTCATATGCACTGCAAGTCGACGATTCTGTGCTTCACTAATTGAATCTCCTCTACTATAATACTCTGATCGGTATTTGAGGGTGTACTTCTGGCACAAGCCTCGTCTGTTTAAAATATTAAAGAAATCCTTTCTGAACTGTTTGGTAAATATTGCGTACAGGAAAGGGTTGGCACAGCTATTTAAGGGATAAAAGAACACCAAAAGTACCTTTGATTTGGTGACGTTAATAAGAGGAGATCCCAGCGCTGCAGTTATAGCAAAGAATGCGATTGGAGCGAAACATGCAAAGTCTGTGAATATGAGAATGGACATACGTTTAGCAATGGTGGCATCATTGTTGCGATTGGTCCCATCTTGATTGGACCTCACTTGAATGAAGATGTTGATATAACAAAAGCTGATGGTGATAAAGGCTAATGCATTCATAACCAGAAGGGACATGACATATGCAAGATCCCCTCCATTTTCAATACGAAAGGGGAGACACGTGCTCGTTTGACTGTAACTGCTAATGTTCACTAAAGGTAGCATTGCCATGAAAATAGCAAACAGCCAGCCAAATGACATAATCAAGGTGGCTTGACGGAGTCGTATACGTTTAGTGAGGTGAATGGCGTGTTTAATAGCGTACCAGCGCTCTATCGTCATGACAGTTAACGTGTAAATGGACAACTGACTTGCAAAAATAGTAAGAAAGCCAGCAACCTGGCAACCTCCCTCATATTGCCACTGGATGGCAAAGTTGAAGTACTCCCCAAGGGTCATTGCATCAACTGAGGCTAGAATCAACAAATAAATCCCCAGCACAATATCAGCAAATGCTAAGTTACACATCAAGAATTTTGAGACTGTCAATTTCTGCTTGTTGAACAGTGTAGCTAGGGTAACACTAAATACCACAATGTTGCCAATGACTGCTGCCAAGGCAATAATCCACACAAAAACCCTGAGCCACACGAAACCCATCACATCTTCACATGGGTTGAAATCATCAGGTTCTGGGCTGCATTCCATTTCATGGAATATCTTAACAGGGTCACCGCACAAGTGTGTTGATTTATGAGTAACATTTTCAGGTATTGGAGTTCCCCACCTATCAGCTAGCTGCTTATAGGAATCAGATTCACTGTCTCCATCACTGTCTCCAGGGCCAAAATGACCAAAACCACCACCTCCATCCATATCACCGCTTATATTGCTTTTCTCACTTGTACTAGGACCCCCAAAGCTGCCAAAATTAGCTTCTATGCCTATATCCCCAATACTGCTATTATCATTAAAAATAGATTTGCTGGGTCCAAAGTCCAGGATTCTTTGGGAGAAGAAGCGCTTTGGCCTTGCTCTTCTTTTAGCCCCTCGCTTCACTGTGGTATGGTATCCTTGAAGTGATTTGAGTTCATTACTATAACGTGTGATCATAGCTTGAGTAGGGGTGGGTGGGCCCAAGCTACTCTTACAATCTTCCTGCACCTTTTGCACAAAGATCTTCCATTCTGCAGGTTCTTGTTTGTCAGGGTTCCAGAAAGCACAGCAGTGGTGTTTGTAATGTACCTGAAAATAGAATGTGTGACAACTCAAGATAGGCACAGCAACTGTGTTTGTAATATACCTGAAAATAGAATGTGTGACAACTCAAGATAGGCACAGCAACTGTGTTTGTAATGTACCTGAAAATAGAATGTGTGACAACTCAAGATAGGCACAGCAACTGTGTTTGTAATGTACCTGAAAATAGAATGTGTGACAACTCAAGATAGGCACAGCAACTGTGTTTGTAATATACCTGAAAAAAGAATGTGTGACAGCTTAAGGTGAGCACAAAGTACAGCAATGATATTTTAATGTACCTGAACATACAATATGTGAAAGTTTTTTGAAATAATACTTATGTTCCTATAACTTCACTGAGCTTAAAATATAATTCCCTGCCATAAAATTGTACCTAGTGCTCTTCTAATATCAATAGGAAGTCAACATACATGTATCTTTATAAGAATTTTATCCTCAAAACTTAGTAGAATACCTTTGCTTTCTGTATACTTGGGAACTTCAAGGCTGGAGGAAGCTTGCGTAACGTTGCAACCTCCTCAAGTATGATCTCATTCAAGTCTGTCAGACCGGCTGTTGGTAGCACATTGATCGCAGTGGATGACAGGTCCCTGGAAAAATTTTAATTATGTAGTACAATTTCTCTCCAACAATCTCCATGTGTTTTAATAATACAGGATTAGAAAAATACCACTGTATGACAGGTCCCAAGTAAAAGCTGAAGACGAAATATTGCGCCATCTTTGAAGCATAATAAAATAGTTTGTATATATATTGAGAACTATTAAGATATTTTACCAAAAAGGTAGAATAAGGATTTTATGCCCCATTCAGAAGAAAACCTTGAGAGATCAAGTTGATATTGGATTTATCCCATCATAAGAACCATGGACTTTCAAGAAGCCCATGTAAGAACTTACAATTTCTTGAGTTTCTTGCTGCCACTGAAGGCATCAGGCTGGATCTCTGTTAATTGTTTACATTTCCTCAGATATAGATTCAAGATCTCAGCATCCATGAAGGCATAATCCTCCACCACCGTGATGGGATTCATCACAAGATATCTGAAACATGGACGTGTAATAGTTAAAGAATATTGAATCTACAATTCACTTTCAGTATCATTTAATCAAGAGAAAAAAGAAAGTGGAAATAAATTGTCTGACTTTAAATTATTTTTAATTGGCACAGATTCATTTGATAGAAATATATGAGGGGAGAGGATATCAGAAACTAGACAAGATTACTGCTATGCATGTTTTATCAACTCATCTATGTTACTGTACCATGTTGTTTGTTATGTAAATGTGAAAGGAGTGTGCCATTATATCATTATATAACCACTAATCATTCAATCTGGATCTACCGAGAGAAATACTAGACATTATCCCAAAGCAACTAAGGGACCAACTCAAACATCATTTCTTTGACTTTTTATCAGTGGTAAAAACCACCCTGCTAAATTAAAACTCAGTTTTTACATATATCATGACAAATTCAAGAATTCTACTCAGTTTAAAGTGATATACAGACTGACTTACAACTGATGACTGTGTACTTTGGCAAATGCTCCCTGGTTCACTCTCGTGATCTTATTTTCCCCAAGATTGCTGGAAATAAAGATACAATAAGCTAATGAAGATGAGACATGATAAAAATTGCAAAGCAAGAGTCAGAATGCCGTAACACACATGTACATATGTCCCTGAAGTATATATTCATAATTTCTTTATTAATCACTTGAGAATATATTGCATAGACAGTATTATTGACTCATTTAATCAAGAATATTATGTGTTCCATGAACACTGCTTGGACTGGCTTAACCTGTTCACACTGAGAACTATAGATGGGTAGACAAACCCTAAAAGTGCCAAAATTTAGGAGTTTAAGAGGTATTGAGTAAACACACTTGTGTTATAATTCTAAAAAGGAATTAAAATATGATAAGAATAAGAACATTGCCCATGTGGTTGCTATGGTAACAGTATTTTAATGTCAAGATGATTGTCAATTATGAATCAGACAACTTCTATTCTTAATAACCCTTGTCTTGAATCAAGCCCAGTGCTTGAGAGTTTAAGATATATGGTAAATGGTAAAGGGAGTGAGAGTTTAAGATATATGGTAAATGGTAAAGGGAGTGTGGTCATGCTTTTGTTACTTACATTTCAATCATGGTGGATTTACTGATGTTAAACTTGGAGAAGTCTGGCACCTCCCTGAGGCCACTCTTTGTAATACTCCTGAAACAAATCAAATATTGCATATTTCAACACACACACACAAAGCAGGGATTGTTCATTTATGTTAAGATAAGATATTTGATTTAGCTTGGTCATTTAAAAACCATTTTAAAGATACTCACCAAATATGTTAGTTATGACAAAATGAATAAACCAATATCAATATTTCAATGGTTATATGTATGTTTGCATTTTCAAATTTGGCCTCTTGTGCTTTGTTGCATTACTTCAGTGTAAAAATAAGTAGGAGGTCTATAAGCTATAGACTTGTTTTTGTATTCTATCCAGTCACATCAGCAGTCATTTCAATACTCAATATATTAACAAAAACCACCATGTAATAACCACTTTACAACAACTTGATTGAGTGTAATGTCAATAGAATTTTAAAAAGGCTATCACTGCAATATGCCTTTGCTTAAAGTGTCCTCACTCGTATGATCATTTCATAAAAATTCGCTCTAAAATTCAGAGGTTCTGCCTAATTTTTGTGCATTCCAGACAAATTTGATTGTTCGACAAATTACTGTATAACTAATTTCTTGCACATTCGTCAAGATTTTAGTGCTTTTTGACTTTTTCAAAAGTATCCATGGTGATATTTTATTTTTGCACTAATGACTACATCAAGATAAATGACTTGTTTAAATTGGGATAAGAACTCTTATGAAAATGTTTTGTATCATTTCTACTCTGAATAAGATATCACTATACATGTACGTATATTATTCAATAAAGGAAATACAGGGTGTCTCAAAAAAAGGAAACTGAGATTAAATTGATAATTTCTTAAAGAGGAATAATGTTAGGGGAAATTCGCAGGTACAATCATTTGCGTCATTATGTCCTCTTTCATATGATAGCAAGATATTCTATATTCTATTTTCCTCTACTGATAACTGAGCAATGGGGGATTCAAGTGACCATGTCAGAAATGGGCCTGTGCCACTTCCAGCCAAGTCAATTTCACCATCATAACATAGTGAAAGTAACAACAAACATAAGGATATTACTCGTTTACTCATCTATTCCAATTAAAGTTACACATCTCATATTAAACATCCCTTATAAATTCCTATGTCCATTCAAAGTTGTTTTAACCCCAGTGCCCTTCAACATGACCCCCATTCCGATCCTTTCAATGCAAATGCCTGCCCTAGATCTCATTGCATGCACTGCATCCCTGATGATGTATCTCTGTCCCCTTAGATGTGGCCCTTGGATCATCAACGTTCTTGGTAACGTTGTTTAGATTTTATCCTTGTAAGATAACCCCAAATAACCATCTTGGCAAAGCCATTTTAATCCCTCATTGTTCAGTCATTCATGAAAGAAAAAGTGGCACAAACCCATTTCTGACATGGTCACTTAAATCCAGAACTCACTTAAAACTCAGTCAGCTGTGGAATTCTCCTATAATTATTCATATTTGAGAAATAAGCAATTAAATCCTGGTTTCCTTTCATGAGACACCCTGTACAAATTCAGGCCAGGTATGAAACTGAAGTAAAAATGGGAAACAATAGAGAAAATCCAGGGTCTCTTACAAAAAGAGTCTTATATATGTATGTGTGTATAAAAAGTACATGCATTAATGCAAGCACATATCATGAAATATTCATGAACAGGCATTAACTTTCATAATGGCTACCTTAGAGCTACTCATGTTTCAACTTTGCCACATTACAAGATTTAAATTTTATCTTTCCCATATTTTTTAATTTATTTATTTCTTATAATACAATCAGCTAATTGCCAAAGTTTAACAACATTAGTGGTGGGAATTTAATTTAGAAAACTTAGATTTACTTTGAAAAATCTGCATGTCTCCTCTCCCCAAAAATGTCTCATAAGTTCACCTTAATTAACTGAGATCACATTCAGCAATTTAGCATCATTAGATAGCTTTAAATAATAGGGAGTAACATGTCAGTTTTTCCATTAGGTGCCCTTTACATTATATGCCTCAATATTTGTATATACACTTAAAAGAGCTTATTGATTGCATTCACACTAAGTATCATTTTTCATTTCATTAATTGAGAACATCATGAGAACCTGCTACTTACAAAGTCTGTAAGCTGTTGAATTCACCGAGCACACCTGGCTGTATATATTCCAGCTTCTTGCATTCTCTGATTATTCTGAAACAAAACAGATACATTGTCATTTAGAGTTTGAAATATAGACTCGCGAAAGTAACACAACCCAAAAATATCTCACTCTAATCACATGCAAAAATTGTATACGTATGTACGTATGTAGGGACGGACGGAGGCATTCCCTATATCTCTCCGAACTTCGTTCGCTGGGATAATGATCTACCAAAAGGTCTAATGATCTACCAAATGATCTGCCAAAAAGTCTAATGATCTACAAAATGATCTGCCAAAAAGTCTAATGATCTACCAAATGATCTGCCAAAAGTTCTTATGATCTACCAAATGATCTGCCAAAAAGTCTAATGATCTGCCAAATGATCTGCCAATAGGTCTAATGATCTGCCAAATGCTCTAATAGTCTGACTAATGGTTTCCCAAAAGGTCTAATGATCTGACAAATGGTCTTATAGTCTGACTAATGGTCTCCCAAAAGGTCTAATGATCTACCAAAAGGTCTAATGATCTACCAAATGATCTGCCAAAAAGTCTAATGATCTGCCAAATGGTCTAATAACTAGTGATTTGTCCGATGGTGTTATGATCTACCCAATGGTCTATGGTCTGCCTAATGGTGAAACTGCTTTCTGCCAAATGGTCCTCAGGTATACCTAATGGTAAAATGATCTACTAATGGTCTAAGGAACTGATGGCATGGGATACACTGATTGTGAGAGTGGAAATAGATATGCAAATATGTGATACCTATTTAGCTAAGGACGCAAAAACACAGCCTTTATCAAATTCAATAGCATAAGAAATACAATCACACCACATAAATCAATTCTTATTATATATAAGCATTATTACTAAGGGAGATAAAGACAGCCTGTTGGTGATTTAGGGTATAATAACATAAATAATGTAAGGCCAATAATGGTGCAGTATATAACATTATTGCGGATGTGATTATTCAGGAACATCCTGCACATCCCCACAGTATTATCTCTGGTAGACAAGGCTATAAAATATATTAAATAAGTAATTTGTTAACAATAACCATGGACCTATAGTAGATCAATGTAATAGCATCAGCACATACAAAAAGGTGAATTTTAAAATCAAAATGGTGAACTCAAAAATGTACCTTAATATTTAACGGAAATTATATGGAGCTTATAAGGTAGAAATAATTTTCAAAAATTTAGATTTGGATTAACATAGAAGTAAACTGTAATAGTTTCTACATCAAGAGAAAATGCGATTGGTTTTGAATATGATTTAAAAACATGCAGATGGAAAGATGCATGTTTTCAAAATTAGTGAAATAATTCTTTGTGGCATCAACTAAAATTAATAATCTGCAAGTATAAGGTTAACTCTAAATCTTGTTTCATCACCTAATTTGAACAAATTAGAGCTTTAAAAATTGCTCAGTAAGGCAGTAAATAAATTATCTTTTTGGAAATTATTAGAGCTGCATGCTCGTCCTAAAATTTATGCATGTCATGCCACCAATCAGTTGAGCAATTTTCTGAAATCTTGGAATTTTCTAGAAAGAAGCTTTATTATGTTAAACTCTGTTGACAATACAAAGTGTATGTAGCTATTATGATTTAAAAAAAATTTAGAGCAATTTGAGCTCTACTGACAAATTATCAGCAATGTCATATACTTACATGACTTTTAAAAGTGGTAGACTTCCAAATGCGTTTCCCTCTATAGTTGCAAGGTGGTGATTATCTTTGATAGTTCTAAAAGAAAAGCAATTAATGGAGATAAGGGTCATGATTCTTAAATTTTATTTCGTACTATAATACAATTTATGTTATTTTAGATTTTGAAGATATATAAATGCATTCTCAATTAATATTAATATTTCTATTGACCTCATAGCTTTATGGTATTCCTGGTATTCCAAAATCTGATTCAAATGAAATAAGTCATGCGAGAAAGACCTATTATGATTGAGACCATTTGATGCTTTACAATACAGACTAAGGAAAGTGTAAAGATACTCGTACTTTATGGATAACCTGTATAAATATGATTATTATATTACAAAAGGACGATTTATAAAATTACTTATCCACAAATATTTAATACCATTTTATCTACTTTTTATAGTTCATGAGGATTATTGTACAGTGTACCATGTTTTTCTATTGTTGCCCTTTGTGCTTTTCCATTTAGTTTAGTCACATTCACATGGTATTAAATAAAAGTTAGTTTTAGGACTTACATGGTGTTCAGCTGACTATATCGCGCAAAAGCGTACGCAGATATGTTCTCCAGACCTGTACCTGTCATCGACCTGAAAACATATAAAGAAAATGTTTATAAAGCATTAAACAATTCATATTAAACACATCAAATGAGAATAAATCAACAAAATGAAGACATAATTGAATATAAAAACAACAATAATTCTGAATCATGTTCTTGAAACTTAACTATAGATTTGTTTTATGGCCTATTTTTGAGGAAAATGTTTTATATCTGGAAGCTAAAACCTTAAAAAACTAATACAGGCAATGCATCATTAAGGTTATAAGAATAAAGAGAAAGGCACAACCTTTTTGCAATTTTGGCCAATAAATATAGTCATTGCCTTTTCTCTATCAGTCCCAATGGGTTGCAATTGATTGGGGGAATAATTCTCTTTGACATCTATGAGGAATCAATACACGACAAACATATGCCATCAGTCACTTTACAACAGTTACAAAAAAGTGAATAATGTGAAAAATATCTCCTTTAGATGAAGGAAATATCCATGAAAATATTACTGGATAATATAAGTACAAAGAGGAGTAAACTAATCTAATAAAATGTTCAATCTATTGGTTGTCATACATTCTCAGTTAGAAATATGGTTCACTTATTTCTAATTTTCAATAACTAATTCATTCAATTTTAATTAACTTTGCTAATAAGTATTCCCCCAAGGTCACACCCGAGGATCGTGAAAATGGGTCGTGAAAATGGGATGGAGGGGGAGCAGTCAATTTCTGCTAGAAAATTCAACAAATCTGGAAGATTTGGGTTTTTTTCAAGAAAAAGTTTACTGTTGAATTGCTGAATGGAAAGGCGCACGGCATGGTAAAATATGTCAGGTCTTCTGAGATTTTTTCTGAACCAATACGCTTCTAAGATATGAGATCTATTAAAAAGTGCAAGGCCACCAACATGCACAAGTCAATGTTTTTGTTTTAAATCAAGCAACAATGGTCTACACAACCTGTAATAAATATTTGTAAGTGACGTTATCATAACTAAATTAAATTTGATTCGATTTCTTGAATATTGGTTCATTGTCAGGGGCAATATGACATTCCCTCCAGAAAAAGCACAATTTGATTCATAAATTCTTTGCTTTCAGTGTAAAATAACATTTCTGCAGTATTACCATAACTGGCTCCACTTACATAAACTTGAGCAATGATTACCCTGGGGACTTAAATACATAGTCACGCTACACTATAAAATTGTGTTCCAAGGGGATGTAATCCATCAATAGAAAACTAATTTAACAACATATCTTCTTCACAACTGTCTTGCAATTTGATGAACATTTCAGTTGTGACATCTTATTATATTCCAAGCCCCATAATGGCAACCATTTTATATCATGCTACTAGTATGAGGAAATGGTATGGTTAACCAACCTATCATCCTGGTCCTAATTGATGTATACTAAATTCTGCCTAAAAATGCAATACATTTGTGGTAAGGTCTGATCTGCAATTATGTACTTCTGGGTGTCTAATCTACCAAGTCAGGTTACTGACATGAAATAGATAATGACAAAGGGAAAGTTCAACACAGAATAATGTCATGTTATGCTCCATCAACTACAGTGTTATCTTTTAATTCAATGACAGACAGAACACATAAGTTAAATTAGGCATCATCTGTGTAAAATGTTACATGTCCTGATAAAACACCATACTGCTTCTAACAAACCAAATAGATCTTGGTATATATTCATTTTACCCATGACCATAACCACATTTTAGGAACAATAAAAGTCATAAGATAGCCCAAAAACTACCTTTCCTTCAATATATTAGCTAAAATAAAACTGGATGTCATGGGTTAAATAAAATGATTCGAGAAGCAGAATATATATCACTGAAAAGGATGGGGTGAATCTAGTTTTACTAAAAAGTAATAAAATGGAAAAAACAAATAAATGAACAGATAGAAAAGTAGCAGAATATAACCATCTTTATCATTCTTTTCTTATAAAATCATGTTTTAACTTTGGCTGTTGATTGTTGATGTCTTTTTTTTGTCGAAGTATAGTAACTACAAAAAAGTTAAGGACAAAGAGATAAAAAAGTCACCCCCTTGTTGTTGATGCAATAAAACCAGGTAATCTAGGATCCTGTAGACCAGTAGATGCATGAGGAGTAGAGGTATATTTTACTCTACAATTGTAGGTTACTTTAACTAATGCTGGCTGTTAAATGTTGTAATTAGCATGTAAAATGCCAATTGATCCTTCTTGAGATTTAAAGTCACTAATGGATTATATTTTTTCAAAATGGTCAATCTCTGAAAGTTACAAGCATGCATGTTAATTAAGCATACCAGCACCATGGAGTATATATTTGTATACCAGATATACTTAAAATCAATAACAAAACAGAGAAAGAGCAAAAACAATTTGATCCTAGTGAATATTTTGCCAGATTCCTGTCTGACTTTAATGAATGGGACACATTGATTGTGAGCTTATGAACTCCATAAATTGCACATAAATATCCTGTTAAGAAGAATGACAACTGAATTACTGTTTCCTCAAAGCTTCCTGCAGAAAATGCCAGAGAAATAACCATTAACGATCTTGCACACATTGAATCAATGCATGGCCTTATTTATTAAGATTTTAATACAATCAATTCCATCAATCAGACCATGGTCTTTTAAAGGTGCAACAATTAGTGCAGGGGGGCCATTCAACGATCATCGACCAGTGTCAAAATATATTTAAGTTTGGATATTTCATCAAGACTAACATATATTTTTATTTTCTCCAAAGAAACCCCCTGGATGAACATCATTTCAGCTGATATTCCTCTTGAAACGTGATGGATGTTAAAAATCTATAAGTGTGACTCCCTTTATAGAAGCTTTGAACTAAATTTACACTTCTTAATGTTGAAATTGATAGTTTATCCATACATTTTAAGAAAAAAGGTATGTCCAAGAAGATGTTAAGCCAAATATTGATCTGATAGCTCAGAAAAAATAAAAATTTTCGAATTTTCTCTCTACAGTCCTTGTTGCCTCTATAAGTAGAAAATAAGATGATTTCTTCAAGCAATGGGTATCAAAGAGTATTATACCACAAGATGTCATGACAGTGAAAATGTTACATGCGGACACAAGGCATTAACATGCAAAGTGTCACCACCTACCATTTGTTACAGACACCAAACTCCGAATGCTGAACACCAACCACCGAACACCAACCAAACAAATTTGTAGACTATAACAATATGTCACAACTCATGGTGGTGAAAATAAAAATGATATATCAAAGATATACACTCAATTGCTTTGGCTAATATATTTTTCCCTTCAGGTAAAAATTTCTTAAAACTGCATGCCTGCTTTTCATGTTCTTCAAACTTGCTGTTGAATTTATGAAACATCAAACCAGATATACATGATCTAACTTAATCCTTATACCAAACAAGACGTAGCTCTATCTAGTGATACATCATACTTATCATCCAAGATTGGAAATTGTTAGTTCAGTATTTGATAAATTACCTAATTTGATTGGTAAGTGAGATAGTTCAAGAGACATCACTGAGGCATAACACATAGATAATACCATACAGTTAAATTTAAGCCAATATCACAAGTTATAAGTTAACATTGCACGTTTTAAGGCAATTAATATTTTCTCCAACAACAGCATCTACATACAGGTACATAACACATTTGACCATAATAATATCCAAACTTTATTTAGAAACTTTTTGAAAATAATTTAGCTATCCAATCAATTTCAATTTCTTTTGCTGATTAGCATTTTATTAGCCAAATTAGCAAGATATTCTAAATGAAAGTCCATGTTTTCAATGTTGTGAATATTAAGATTGGACATTATTTTAGGTTCCCTTATTTCAGAAACCATATTGTGGTTGAGGATAAACTCTTAAAGGGTAAAAACTATATGCTTAGAATAAAAGTATATGTTGCGAGTAAAATGTATATATAAAATTAAACATCTCCTAAATGTAATGATCCATACCCTTAATATGACAGGTCTTCCGGATATTAGAAAATTTAACATGATTCTTTCACCTTTTGGCCCTCATGTCCTCAATTATGATTATGCGTTGATTGTGGTTGTCACAATGTTTTGACGAAGATCCCCATATGGGAACGTACACTATCCCTTGTGTGTCATTCGTCCGTCTTCTCACGAAAACTTTCTATTAAATGTAATCTAGTGCTAACACTAGTAGATTAGTCTCATACAAAAGTTTTTTATAGAATAATTATTAAAAATAGCCTTGATTTTCAGCCCTGCAGTTGCATACTGGACAATGCTGCCTGCTTGAATGTTGCCTATCTTTTTTTGTTTTCATAATCAGTTTGTATTTACAATGTATAATATCCTGAGTACTTTGAGTATATACACATTCATTGCAAGATCACAGTGAGAGGCATAAAAGGATAGAGTGGACATTTATCCTCATACCATACTCTCTCGTACATCGCCATAATCACCCCCCCCCCCTTTTGTCTTGAACCATTTCCCTTGCAAATTACAGATAAGAGGGGGTCTGGTACACCAGAATGTCTCTAGTTAATTGCTATACAACATATGGTTTTGTTTTTAAAATTATAAACACAAAATGATAACACTTGGTTTCAATATTGAAAAAGGTGTTTATGATATATTACACATTTAAAGGTATTCTATTCAAGGTCAAAGTGACATAAGATTGAAATCAAAATATCATTTATTAAAGGAACAGCTTGGTCATCTCTAATGTTTGAAGGAGTTATTCATATCAGCTTCATCTATATTGTATTCATAATTTACTAATGAATGCAATCAACCATCATGGATATACATACAAATAATCTATGAAACAAAATCCAGTCCAGGGATCACAAATACATTTGTTTCTCTCATCAAGCGGAAAAGATTTAAAGACAAGTCAAGTCAATTACAGGTTAGAATGACCCTGTCACAGTGAATGCCACCCAAAATGTTTACAAAATGCAATAGAACTGATAAGAGGCAAATTAATTTCATTCTGGGTGTAAAGTTTGTATAGGAAA